TAAAATAAACATTCCATTTGAGGAATTAAAGAATTATTTGTCTGAAGCAACAATTGGTCTGCACACCATGTGGAATGAACATTTTGGGATTGGTGAGTTTGTCCTTAACTAGTTTAATGTGCAAGACATACTACTTTAGGTTTATGATAAGTTAATAATACTCTGAAGTCTCTATGACATCCTCATTCTCTTTTCTTAATCCACCAAGTGTGCTTTTTTCATCTTGGACCTTTTAAGACAGTAGTTAAGAATAGTACTTGGGCCTGGCGCTGGTGGCTGACACCTATAATCCTAGCTACTCAGGAGACTGAGGATCTCGGTTCAAAGCCAGTCCAGGCAGGAAAGTCTGTGAGACTCTTAGCTCCAATATACCGCTCAGAAAACCAGAAGTGGTGCTGTGGCTCAAGTGGTGGAGCACTAGCCTTGAGCTGAAAAGCTGAGGGACAGCTTTCAGGCCCAGCCCCATGACTGACAAAGAAAAAAAAAAAAAAAAAACACTAGTACTTGGACTTGGATATGGCTTAGTGACGGAGTACTTGGCTAGCATGTACCAGCTCCTAGATTCTATTCCAAGAAATGCTTGCACATGTACACACACACACACACACACACACACACACACACACACACACGAAATTTATTAACCACCACTTAGTATATGGAGGTTACTAAATTGAGGTTTTTACAAATATTATCTAGTTTAATATTCTCTAAATCCCTGTTTGATAGGTATTATTGTTATACCCATTTGTCCATATGGAAACCCAAGCACAGAGAGGTCTAGAAACTTCAGTCCAGTCACAAAGGAAGTGGTAGGTCTGGCTTCTACCCAGGTAACAACTGCTCTTAACTGCTAGGCTTTCTATTTCCATCCACCCACCTCACTTTTTTTTTGTTTGTTTTAGGGCTCAAACCCACAGTCTTGCACTCACTAGGCAAGTGCTATGCTCTACTACTGAGCTATCCTTAAGCCTTCTCTCCTCATCTAAACTCATCTGTGTACTGGTACAGACTCCTTGCCCCTACCCTAAATCATACTAAAGGAGCAGCTTGGAATCTTTGGATAGGATCTAGTGAGAAGTATTTCAATGGGCTTGCTTAGGGGTGAGCATTTTTATTTGGGCAGCAGAAGCTGACACTGTCTCCAGATCAGCTTCCCACACTATTTCTCTTTTAAATTCTTTGTGAATTTTTGCTCATTATTGAAATGGCCTCACCCCATCTTTCCTACAGATCCTATCAGGGTTCAGTTTCAGTCTCTTTACCCTTTATTTGGTTTTGCTATTCAAGCTGCTATTTCTATTCTAACTTTGGGTTCAGCATACATTTCATTGTAAAGTCAACTGCTGTTTGGTGTCATTTGGTAACATGTATTTTTCAAGTGCCTGTTCTGTGTCTCTCCTCATTATAGGAAAACAGAAGTGGAGCTTCCTATACTAACACTATAATTTCTTATGTCTTAAATTCCTAGTTAGTAGTATAATAGTAAGTCCAAAAGTACAAAGACTTATTGGTCCAGCTCTCTGCTTAGAGTCTGTCTTCTGACATTTACTGGTACTCAGTCTGGACCAGGCACTCAAGGAGGCTGGGAAGGTGGCTGAGGTGGGAGTTGCTCTTCGTTCTTTCCCTTCAGAAGCTGCCCATCCTTCTGGTGGTCACACTTTGCTGGACATGAGCCAATGCTGTGTAAGGAAAGTGAAGTGTTCCAGGAACAGTCACACAAGACAGACTTGTGACCCTCAAGCTGGGTCCCAAACAATAATTAAAAGTTGGCCAGCAAGTGAGAGAATAGCACAAGTGTGACTAAAGGAGCATCAATAACTACATTCAAGCGACTTTGTTCACAGAGCAAGAGCCTGAAGGGGACAGTTAAGAAAACCAGTGCCAGTGAGAGCCATGTCAACCAGTGGGAAAGAATGAAAGGATATTTTTGGTTTTTTGTGCCTAACTGGGGCTTGGACTTAAAACCTGGGCATTGTCCCAAGACTGGTACTCTACCACTTAAACCATAGCTCCACATCCAGCTTTGGATAGGTAATTAGAGGTAAGAGTCTCAAGGACATTTCTGCCTAGCTGGCATTGCACCATGGTCCTCAGATCTCACGTTGCTGAATAGCTAGGATTACAGGCATGGTCGTCTGTCATGGGTCTTGAACTCTGGGTCTGAACGCTGTCCTTCAGCTCTTCAGTTCAAGGCTAGTACTCTACCACTTGAGCCACAGCAACACTTTCTGGTTTTCTGAGTGGTTTATTGGAGCTAAGAGTCTCATGGACTTTCCTGCCTGGGCTGGCTTTGAACCCCAATCCTCAGATCTCAGCCTCCTGAGTAGCAAGGACTAGAGGCATCAGCCACCAGTGCCTGGTCTGGAATGATTTTAAGCAGTTCATTTTACAGCTTTCTGTTTCCTAGGAATGTAGTGTGGAGAGTCCAAGCTTTTAAAGGTTTCTGCTCATTTTTTTTCTTTCTCAGGAGTTGTGGAGTGTATGGCAGCTGGCACAATTATCCTTGCACACAACTCAGGGGGTCCAAAGCTGGACATCGTTATTCCTCATGAAGGAGATATAACTGGATTTCTGGCTGAGACCGAAGATGGCTATGCTGAGACTATGGCTCATATTCTCTCCCTGTCTGCAGAAAAGAGACTCCAGATCAGAAAAAATGCTCGTGCATCTGTAAGCAGATTCTCGGACCAAGAGTTTGAAGTGACATTCCTGTCATCTGTGGAGAAGTTATTTAAATAATCCTAGATCTGTATATATTAAAGGTATTTTATATTAAATACTTGGGTTTGTAGGAATAGCTCACAGTTAAAGCACATACTCCATATGGGTGAGGGCCTGGGTTCAATCCCCAGCACCAAAACTTAAATTGGTTAATTACCACTTCATATATAAATACCTTTCTATACTTATTTCTGTTATAATCAAGTCAGTCTGAACAGTGTTCTCAGCAGTATGTATTTAGAAAAAGTATTTTATTGAGAAAAGGCCAAATTACCTAAATGGAAAATACACTCTTACATATCCTAATATAACAATTTAGATTAATATGTGGTCTTCAGTTTTACAAAATGCAGAACTGAAAGAAAAACATTAACAACTGAATTTGGTATAATCCATATTTTTATGTTCTGTTTTTGAAATCACTCAACAGGAAAAAATTCTCTTTATTTGATCACTTGTTTGCTTTATTGTATTTTGTTGTTTTATTTATTTTGAGTATTAGGAATCAAACCCAAGACCTTACACAGGCAGAGGACAAGCTCTACCTCTTAGCTACACCTCAGCTGAAATTTTCCTTTTAGAATAGAAGGAAATGTTAAAATAAAAAGGGATGATAGATAAAAAGTAACTAGCACTTTAGAATTATTCTGACATTTTGAAACACAAATCTTTTTGGATCAGGGAGTTGTTAGGAATTGTACTCCAGGCTTGTTCATACTAGGCAAATATTCTTCTAGTGAGCTACATCCCCAACCCCAAAATTTCTGGTACATTTAATTCATGGGTCACCTTTTTCAATGTACCTAATGTTTTCTTAAAAGCAACTTTGTAGATGTATCTAATTCTGTTCCCAAGGCACATATGTAAGAGGTGGAATGGGCTGATTACTTCATGAATATGTATAGGCATGTTGAGGTTAAGATGCAATAATTAAAAGTTGCCTCGTTATCACAGCACATTTGGATGGGTCTCCCACATCCATAACAGCTCCAACCTAAGTAAGCAACCTAATTTACTCAAGAGAACATCAAGAAAGTTGTTTTCTGGCTTAATTATAAGATAAAGAGAACTAGCCTCACATTTTATATAAACAAAACCATGCATTGTTAGATGGTGAGCTAGCCTTTGAAAGGAGCACTGGATGGCTTGACGCAAGTATAAGGTCCTGAGTTCAAACCCTAGGATCTCAAAAAGAAAGAAATGAGTACTGGACTGAGTCAGCAGCATCCACTTCATTCTTTACAAACATCTGATTGAAATTAAAGCTGCTCCTTAATCTTTTTGAATCTTTTCGCATGAGCTGGAGATGTTAATGCCTACCCTTATTGAATTTTAGAGTGGTAATACTGAAATGGAGAGTGTGTAAAACAACTTTGAAAATTCCAAACATTAGAGTAAATGCCTCTGATATCCTGTCTTTAGTAATGATTATATGTGTATGCAGATCTTACCAGCTTTCAGCATTTTCTACAGATATCCTTGTTCAGTGAATTGACACTCCCTTCATCAGTCTGATTTATACCTGAGTTATGGGTGGACTCCTTCAGTGTTACAGAGTTCTTTAATGACAGCATCCAGATTATGAAGTGGTGTTTTGACTCTGGGCCCACTGCTCTTTCTTATTCTATGGCTAGTCTTTGAGGTCAGATCCATGCTATAGCCTACTCAGCCTACAACATCTACACAAAGAAAACTATGTAACTAAAGAGGAAGAAATTGAAATGAACAAGTAGAGGATATAGTGAAAGAAGATTCCTTAAAACACATTAAAGGTTCATTTTTTAATTTTTTTTCCAAAAAATTGACTCATGGATCATAAATATGATACTATTTGCATATATGTTCATTTCCAGTGTTCTTAATGTGGTACTTACTTGTATTTTAGTTTGTTTACTGAATTACTGGTACTATGAAAAATGTGGAAACAGTATGTCAATTACTGTCTGCGAACATCTGGGTGACTATTGATTTTGCTAAGTTCACATTCCCTGTGTAGTTAAAGTTACACTTTAACTGTAAAGTACATGTTATGTGGTCTTTGTACAATAATCTCTTCCTACAGTCTCCCAATTCTTCTAGTATAGTTCCACATGCTGAGAAATGTGGAGGGAATGGGGTACTGGTACTGGGGGTTGTATTCAGGGCCTTGTGCACCTGCTTGGCTTTTTCGCTGCACTTCTAGCTTTTTTCCTGGTTAATTAGAGATAAATGTCATAAGGCCTTTTCTGACCAGACTGGCTTTGAGCAGCAATCCTCAGAGCTCAGCCTCCCGAGTAGCTAGGATTACAGGCATGAGCCTCTAGCACCTGGCTAGAATTTTTTTTTTAATATTTAAAGAAGAAAGAAAATGCATAAAAAGGAAAGGATATCTTTATCTTGTTTGTGGTGCCTAAGTATTGGTTGTTAGATTTTGTAGACTTTCTTAAAAATTATTTATGCTTTGGGGTGTGGCTTTGGATTAGACTGAAGGCCTTATGCTTGCTAAGCATACATTCTATCCCTAGCTACCTCCCCTGTCCTTTCACTCTTTATTTTTTAATAATTTCCAAGGTATTTTTACAAGATCATCTTATAGGAAAAATTATGAAATAAAGACAAGTGTTAGTATCAGTGCTTTCAGAATGTTGGTGTTTAATTATTTAAATAAACCCTAGTCTCCAGGACTTTGATATGAATGAATAAATTAGAATGTGTCTGTGCTAAATCTGTCAATGAGTGCAACAGGAAAGTTACTTCTGTTACTTCTACAGCAGAAGTTATTGTAAGTTTCTAGGTGCTTTTGGTCTCTGTGGTTTATGTGTCCTCTCTCACTGCTTCTGGGCTAATCTCTTTCCCTACCCTAAAATCTAAAGCCATCCTTCTAAAGGGAGCTCTATTATCTGACTTGAAAGAAAAATCAAGTCCTAGAGATGATCACTGAAAAACTAACATATAAATGATTTGTTTTTACTTGTACCTAAACAGGTACTATAGGGAATAGGTACTTCTTATTCTTAATAAGAAAAGGTAGGTAGGAGCTGGGTGCAGTGTGCATGCCTATAATCCCAACTCTCTGGAGGTAGAGATAGAAGGATCCCAAGTCAAGGCCAGCCTAAGCTAATAGTGAATTCTAGTCTATCCTGAGTAACATAGTGAGACCCTGTCTTAAAAGCAAAGAATCAAAGAAACAAAACAAAATGCCTAAAAGTCCACTGAACCCAATACCATTAAAAAAAGAGAAGAAAAATCCCAGTAATCACACTTGTATGTTTTGATTGTTAGTTCTTAGTTATCATCAATAAAACAAACTGGGTCAATCGATGGACTATTAACCACTTCTGAGGCGTCATTTGATTCTTCTTTTTCTCCTGACTTTTCAGCATCTTTAGAGAAAATGGAAGCCTCTTCCTTTTCTTCTTTGAAAGAAGCAAGATTTTCTAAGGATTCTACTACTTCATTTCTCAATTCATCTTCAGATTCTTCAAAATTTCTGAAACAGCAGCAAAACAGTGTTACATTATGAAATCATTAATATGAAAACTTGTTTCCTTTTTCATTGCATTTTACCAGGTGTTTGTGGCTCGTTCCTGTAATCCTAGCTATTCAGGAGTCTGAGATCTGAGATCACAGCTCAAAACCAGCTCTGGCAGGAAAGTACATGAGGTGTGTGTCTGTGTCTGTGTCTGTGTGTGTATGTATATATATACACGCTGACCAAAGTAGTATCCCTGAGCTTCCCGTGCTCAAGCCTAGTGCTCTTACCACTTGAGCCATAGCTCTGCTTCTGGCTTTTTGATGCTTAATTAGAGATAAGTGTCTCAGAATATTCTACCTGGGCTGGGCTTGAACCTCTATCCTCAGATCTCAACCTTCTGAGTCTCTAGGATTACAGACATGAGCCACTGCCTCATGGCTCTGTGAGACTTTTATCTCGAAGTAAACCACCCAAAAACCAGAAGTAGCAGTGTGGTTCAAATGGTAAGCAGCAGATGTGAACAGAAAAGGCCAGTGGACAGTACAAGGTCCTGAGTTCAAACCCTCAATATTGGCACATACACCAAAATTGCATACTCAAGTAATAAATTATTAACAGTCTGGCTTTTCTATACACTTATCAACCAGTGTTGGGAAAAACATTTCTCTGTTTAGTTGGACTCAGGTTTCAACCTTTAAGTATCACTATCCATTTACACTCAATAAGAGCAAAGAGAAACCCAGGCACCAGGGGCTCACATTGATAATCCCAGCTACTGAGGAGGCTGAGATCTGAGGATCACAATTTGAAGCCAGTGTGAGCAGTGATGTCCATAAGACTTACCTCCAGTTAACATCCAAAAAATCAGCCGTGGAGCTTACTTTTAAAGTAGTGATATGCCAACCTTGAGCAAAAAAATAAAGCTCAGGGAAGCCCCCTGGTCTTCAAACCCCAATACTGGCGCGCGCACGCACACACACACACACACACACACACACACAGAAAGGAAAAAGAAAACACTAGCACATGCATTTATATTTAAGGTATAATCTTTCATAATGACAAATGACTTTTTGGTTTGTGTATATATTATGCTTTTTATATTTTAAGTGTCTATACTTTCCATCAAAAAGTTTACTGTGAAACAGAAAGCTAAGTAAATGTTCTATATCCCTTTGCCCTTTAACTGTTTGAATTAAGTAAATTTAGATAAAGAATACTATAGTCTTCATAGTTAGGTTATATTATCTGGAAGGTTTTTGTTTGTTTGTTTTGCTTTGTTTTTTGATAGTACTGAGCTTAAACTCAGGCCTTGGACACTGTCCTTGAGCTTTCTCAGCTCAAAGCTAGTGCTCTACCACTTGATCCACAGCCAGCTTTTTGGTGATTAATTGGGGATCAGAGTCTCACCGACTTTACTGCCTGGACCATCTTCAAACAGTGATCCTTAGATCTTAACTTTCTGAGTAGCTAGGATTACAGGTGTGAGCCACCTGTGACCAGCTTATCTGAAGTTTTTAATGGCCTAATTCAATTATTTACTGCATTTGCTATCTCTCATAGTAGACTCTGGAGTTTTTTTTTTGTTTTACCTTTTTTAAATTTTTCTCAGTATGGGAGCTTGAACTCAGGACCTCACACTGTTGCTCAGCTTTCTTGTTCATGGCTGGTGCTCAGCTACTTGAATCATATGTCTACTCCAGCATTTTTGCTGGTTAATTGGAGATGAGAGTGTCTCAAATTTGTTCCCCCTGAGCTGACTTTGAACCTTGATTCTCTGATCTCAGGCTCTCAAGTAGCTAGCATGAAGCACCAGTGCCTAGCTGTTTTGCTTTGTTTTGAGGCGGTCTGAACTGGGTAGAACTAGTTTTTAAATTTCCAATTGTGAGCTCATTTTCAGTAGAGTGTTAGCAGAAAAAAAAAAATCCAATGCTTATAACTCCAGGGTGTTTCGTATTAGTTCTTCTAGCTATCCCAGGAGTATTATTTTCTTTCAATGCAAATTTTAATGATAATTTCTCAAAGTAAGTGTATTCATACCACCTAAGTATTACAATTCAATCTCCAAACCTAAGTGAAGTCAAATCCATGGTTATAAATTTCCTAGGAAGAATTTTTCTCCCAGAGATTTGAGCCAAAACAGACAATCCACATTACTGGGACTTTTCTAGACACCCTTATTCTTCAGGGGTTCCAGCCACCATGAATGGAGGGAGGATACAAAGACTTACTAGGTGTATAGGAGGCATGCAAGGAGAGAAAGGGAACTAAAACAAAAATTAACTCTCCAGGAGAGCAAAACCTCTAACTAAAATTACAAGACACATGAATACATTTTAAGAGTAAAATAAATGGACACAATTTTATTTTTCAGTGCTGGTGATAAAACTCAGGACTTTCTGCATGCCTGCAAGTGCTCTGCCACTGAGGCATAAGCATGATCATAACAACTATCAATGCATAATCATTATTTAGGCATAAATAAAGTAAAACAAGAAAAAAAAGCCAGACATGGGTGGCTCATCTCTGTTATCCTAGCTACTCAGGAGGCTGAGATCTGAAGAGTGAGGTTCAAAAGCCAACCCTGGGAGAGCCCATGAAACTCTTAGCTTTAATTACTCACCACAAAAAGCCAGAAATAAAGCTGTGGCTCAAGTGGTACCGTGCCAGCCTTAAGCACAACACCCAGTCTGTGAGTTCAAGTCCCAGTACCAGCACAACGTAAACAGAAGAAAAGTCTGTCATTTGTGATGGATGAACCCAGAGGACATTATGCCAAGTAGGCCTAAAAGAAATCACATGATCTCACCCTATATGTGGAAACTAAAGCAATGTAAATCTTAGAAGTAGAGAATAATAGGATAGGTGGTTGCCAAGGATGGGGAGACAGCAAAGGGAAATTGGAAATGTCCATCAAAGGGTACAAAGCTGCAGTTAGACAAGAGAAATACCTGCTAAAGGTCTTTTAAGTCTCTCAGCGCAAATAAATAGTAATTAGGGATACATGTGTATGTATAAATTAGGTTGGGTTAGACATTCCACAGTATATACATGTTCCCAGACATATTGTTGTAGATAAATTGATAGTATATTAACAATTTATAATCACAAAAATGTCAATTGCCATATTTAATCAACAAATACATTATTGCTATTAATATCTCACCCAAGTCTCTCATGACACTATAGAAGAATGTAAAGATATCTATGTTGAACTAAGGGAAGTAACAGCTGAGACCATTTTGAAGGAAAACATGGAGTCCAGGAGAAAATGTGGGCCGTAGCTCTACCACATATCAAATGGGATGATACAGCCATAGTAATTAGACAAATATTACTAATGGAAATATACAAAATAATGCCAGGAGAAGAATGGAGATCACAGAATGAATCCATGCAGATAGGAAAATGTAATCTCTAGCTAGGCCTCAACCACCTCCCATCCCATAACAGCATTTTCAGTGTTGCGCAGTGCTCTGTTTAAGTTATCTGCTAATGAGTTACTTACGTATCATTACCATCAGATCCTGCTTCCAGTTGTTCCTTGTCTACTTCAATGCCAGATGTCATTTCCACCTCCTCTTCATCTTCTTTAGGAAGATATTGTTTTAAAGTTCCTATTGTTAAGGAAATGACAAAATGAGAGTCAGGCCACCCTGCATAGACATCTGATAAGCAGTATATACCAAAAATCCTCTAATGAATTGCACAACCTTCTAGTCATCACCAAAACAGAGTAATACTGGTGTCTCATGCCTGTAATCCTAGTTACACCGCTAATGAGATAGGAGGATCATTGTTCAAAGTCAGCCCATGCAGGAAAGTTGTGAGTCTTATCTCTAGTTAACCACCAAAAAAGCCAGAAGTGGGTAGAAGTGTAGTAGAATACTAGCCTTGAGCAGAAAAGCTCAGAGATAGTGCCCAGGCCTTGAGTTCAAGCCCCAGTACTAATGCACACACACACACACACACATTCATAAATGAGTTTATACATGAGGTAATAAGAGATAAAATTGGTTAGTTTGATTATCTGATTGAGGGAATCAGAGCCAGATTTCATATCACATATGAGAACAATTTCTAGTCTTAACCATTATTTATTGCTGCCTTCCAATATTCTACAAAGAACCCAGCTTAGTGATAGTGTGACTGCATAGTATATGCTTGGTTCTAGGTTCAGTCTCCCACACCAAAGCAATAGCTAGCTTACACATAAATACATACTTCATATATAACATTCATATTCTTATAAAACTTTATATATAGCAACTGTAAATGTTTACATTTTATGCATTATGTCTTACAGAAGAAATTTATATCACTATAGTATAAAAGTCCTACAAAAATAATACAGATGGGCTGAGAAGGTGGCTCAGTGGTAGAGCGCTTGCCTTGCATGCATGAGGCCCTGGGTTCGATTCCTCAGCACCACATAAGCCGGAAGTGGTGCTGTGGCTCAAGTGGTAGAGTGTTAGCCTTGAGCTGAACAGCTGAGAGACCAGAGTTCAGGCCCCATGACCAGACCAAACAAAAAAATAATAATACAGATATAGGGAATTATATTTATGCATCAATAGAAATCACTTCAGAATAAATAAATTTAAACAAAGATGGAATAAGTTATATAGTAGACATTTTAAACCAATAAAAAAAATCTGTTATTCAAAAAAATATTATTGAGCCAGGCATAGTGTGGTGTATGCTTATAGTCCCAGCTACTCTGGTTGTTGAGGTAAGATAATTTGAGCCTAGGCAACATAGCGATGATCTAGAGAAAAACAGAAGCATAACGTTGCTCAAAATTGGAGATAGACTATAGTGGAATAATTTGAGTCCACTGACATCAAAAAATGAACTGATCCAGGTAAGCGCTAAGCCATACTAGATTATCATCTACAAAGCTGCTAGTTCTTTTAATCAGTGTCAGTTGATTACATTCAAGAAAATGAGTCTACTGTCCTTGGAAATTTGTGTCACTTGTTAGTAGCATTTGGTACAGGTCTAAACAAAGCAAATTAAAATTTCTGAAATGGCAAACAGTTATCTCTAGACTTATAGTATTACATTTTCAAAGCTTTGACAAAATTCATCAAGAGCTTAATATTAATAAAAAATAAAAACTAGATATGGGTCCCAAAAGTTGAAAATGTAAGTCTACCTAAGGCATGTACAAGAATGTCATAGCAGGGGCCAAGCACTGGTGGCTCACGCCTGTATTCCAAGCTACTCAGGAGGCTGAGATTTGAGGACTGTGGTTCAAAGCCAGCCAGGTCAGAAATGTCCATGAGACTCTTATCTCCAATTAACCACAAAAAGCCAGAAGTGTGGGCTGGGAATACGGCTTAGTGGTAGAGTGCTTTCCTAGCATGCATGAAGCCCTAGGTTCGATTCTTCAGTACCGCATACATAGTAAAAGCCAGAAGGGGGGCTGTGGCTCAAGTGGTAAAGCACTAGCCTTGAGCAAAAGAAGTTCAGGGACAGTGCCCAGGCCCTGAGTTCAAGCCCCAGGACTGGCAAAAAAAAAAAAAAAAAAAAAGCCAGAAGTGGAGCTGTGGCTCAAGTTACACAATAGCTCAAGGTCAGTGCCCAAGCCCTGAGTACAAGCCCTAGGACTGACCAAAAAGAAAGTCATAGCAGCATTATTTCCAGCAGCCCATAGATGGGAACAAGTCAAATGCCCATCCCCTTATGAAGTGCTAAGTGAAATGTGCAAAGCCATCTGAGGGAGAGGGGAGAAAAGGAGAGGGAAAAGGAGAAAGAGGAAGGAAAGTGAGAGGAGGAGGAGAAGAAAGAGGAAAGCCAGGTGTGATGTGTGCCTGTAATCCCAGCAACTCCGAAGACTTTTAATGTTATCTTAATACTTAGCCTGGGCAATATAACAGCTTTGACTCAGAGCAAGAGAGAAGAGGAATGAAGTTCTGACCTTTGTTACAACATGAATGTACCTTGAAAACATTATACAAAGTGAGGGAAGCAGAGACAATAAAACTACACATGTTCCATGTATACAGATTGTCTAAAATAAGCAGATCCAGACTACTGGACACCAGATGCCATTGTGACTGCTAATGAGTACAGGATTTCTTTCCTGGGTAATTAACGTGCGCTAGAAATTAGCAAACAAATAAAGTATTATACCAGGTTTTCCTTCGCTGGCAGGAAATGAGCTACTCAGATGTGCTGCTGCCAAAACAGCCATCAAAGTCCCTGGTGCTTCACGCTGCCACTGCTTCCTGTTTTCTGGACCATCTTCCATCACAATCACTTGGCCATCTGAGGAGGAAACTGTGTTATTAAAAATAAAAATGGCTGGGCGCTGGTGGCTCATGTCTGTAATCCTAACCACTCAGGAGGCTGAGATCTGAGGATGGCAGTTCGAAGCCAGACCAAGCAAGAAAGTCTGTGAGACTTTTTTTTTTTTTTGTCCAGTCGTGGGGCCTGAACTCTGTGCCTGGGCACTGTCCCTCAGCTCTTCAGCTCAAGGCTAGCGCTCTACCACTTGAGCCACAGCGCCACTTCCGGCTTTTTCTTTTTGTTATGTGGTACTGAGGAATCGAACCCAGGGCCTCAGGCATGCAAGGCAAGCGCTCTACCACTGAGCCACCTTCCCAGCCCTGTGAGACTCTTATCTCCAATAAATTACCAAAAACGCTGGAAGTGGATCTGTGGCTCAAGTAGTAGAATGCTAGCCTTGAATGAAAGCTCAGAGACCGTGCCCAGACCCTGAGTTCAAGCCATAGGACTGGCAAATAAATAAATAAAAATGCTTCTTCATTTGAGTGTTCATTAAATCATAGTGTATCAGAACCTTAGAGGTAATCCCACATCTCATTTGACTGAAGTAACAGAGAATTTATTATCCTAGGTATGTTGGGAGATGCCTGCAATCCCAGTTACTTGGGAGGTAGAGATTGGGAGAATCACAGTTTGAGATAAGTTAGAGAGACTCCAACAAATAAGCTGGGCATGCTGGAATGGACCTGGTATCCCAGCCATGCAAAAGACATAATAGGAGAATTGAGGTCTAAGCCACCCCCGGCAAAAATTCAAGAACCTATTTGAAAAATAACCAAAGCCAAGAAAAAGGGGAGGGGGTGCTTGGGAGTATGGCTTAAGTGGGAGACAGCCTGCCTGGTACACATGAGCCCCTGAGTTCAAATTCTAGTAACAATGAAAGCTTTAAAAAATATAAATGAAGTTCAAAAATGGAGTGTCTTATTGTCATATAGCTGGTGAGAAGAAAATTCATGGGGTTTTTTAATACTTTTTTTATTTAGTTGTACAGGAGTTGCCATTTAACAGTGTCACCCCTTTCGGCATTCTTACCTTTCCTTCCCTGACCCACCCTTTCCTTCACTTCTTTTAAGTTTGTAATACATACATTGAATTCTTGATTGCATTCTCCCTCTCTTCTCCTCTTCACTGGCTACCCAGCTCTCCTTGACCCCAGCCCCTTCCTGTTTATTTTGTTGAATTTTTATTGTGCCTTTCTAAGGAATTTCACTATTTGAGTTCTACATTGAAACTACCATATTTCAGTTAATACAGGTGTATACACTTGCATACCACTTAACATATATACTTATAGGTTTATAAGCTAATTCTAGCTTCCTCATATAAGGGAAAATAAGCATTCTTGGTCTCTTTAGCTCTGAAGAAGATTTCTGTTTAAAAAGGCCTTTTTTGTTGTGATAAAACTTCTATTTTAAGTTAGGTATCCACCTCAATTGCCTTATTGATTTATAAGCCAACTCACGTACATACACTTATTAACTTCAATTATATACATTCATACCTTGTATCTAAGGAGGAATGATTTCAGGACCCCCAAGGATATAAAAATCTGTGGGTGCTCAAGTCTCTTGCATATAGTAGAGTAATATTTGCATATAACCCAAGCATATCCACTTAGTCTGTAATACAGTGTAACTGCCATATAAATAGCTGGTAGGCTGAATTGTGAATTGTTTATAGAATAAACAGAAGCTTTTGTTTTTCCTTGTGTGTGTCTGTGTGTGTGTTTGTGCGCACACACGCATACCTGCCAGTAATGGGGCTTGAACTCATCGCCTGGGTTCTTAGCTTTTCCCACTCAAAGCTGGTGCTCTACCACTTTAGTCACACCTCCGCTTCTGGCTGTTTGCTAGTTAACTGGAGATGGAAGTCTCATGGACTTTCTTGCCCAGACTACCTTTGAACCTCAAATCATCAAATACTGCCCTCCTGAAAAGTTGGAATTATAGGCTCAAGCCACCAGTGCCTGGCCTTTACTAATTTTTTTAAAAAATATTTTCTGCTGGGCATCAGTAGCTCACATTTGTAATCCTAGCTACTTGGGAGGCTGAGATCTGAGGATCAAGGTTTGAAGCCAGCCTGTGCAGGAAAGTCCATATGACTTCTTATCTCCAACAAACTGCCCCCCCAAAAGCTGTAAGCAGAGTTCTTGCTTAAGTGATAGCTAGCCTTGAGACAAAGAAGCTCAAGAACAACACTCAGGCCCTGAGTTCAAGTGCCAGGACTGGCGCAAAAAAAAACAAAATTTCCATCTGTGGTTGGTTGAAGTCAAGGATATGGAGAGCTAATGTTAAAAGGGTTGCCTTTTTCTTCTAAATAAATAAATAAGCAAATAGATAAATAGCACATTGGCTTAGAAAGTATATGTATCTTTACACTTAATTCTTGAAATGTTGGGAAAACGAATCTTTTAATTCCAACTTTACTGGTGAAACATACGACTTTCCAAAAAATTTCAGGGAAATCATTAAGCTGACACTAGAGGACATATCAATTCAGTTGCCTTTCTTCACCTTCACTTTAATTTTTTTCTTTATTTTGTGTTGATACTGGGGCTTGCATTTAAGTCCTCCCTCTTTCATTTGGCTCAATGCTCTGCCATCCTGTTCCAGCTTTTTGCTGGTTAACTGAAGATCAGGAGTCTTAGTGGACTTTCCTCTCTGGCTTCTAACTGCAATCTTCAGATCCCAACCTTGTGAGTAGTTTAGATTACAAGTGTGAGCTACCCAGTGCCTAGCTTTCACATCACTTTAAAAAAAAGTCGTGGGGCTGGGAAGGTGGCTCAGTGGTAGAGCGTTTGCCTTGCATGCATAAAGCCCTGGGTTTGATTCCTCAGCACCACATAAGCAGAAAAAGCTGGAAGTGGTGCTGTGGCTCAAGTGGTAGAGCACTAGCCTTGAGCTGAAGAGCTGAGGGACAGCGCCCAGGCCCAGAGTTCAGGCACCATGACTGGCAAAAATAAACAAACAAACAGCTTGTTGCATCCTGGATTTTTCTTCCTTTTCTTTTGCCTGGCAAGAGTGGTCAGTTCTTTGGGACAATTATCAGGCAAGTGTCTCCAGTGGGTGGAGGAGAAAACAAATGCCTTTGCAAGGTGTTTAGAACAAAATCAGTAGAGACTAAACTTAAAAGGAAATTTATTCCAACACAGTGAGCTCTGATAACACAACTGTTTGGGCCCTCTGGTCTTCCTTAGTGCCAACTGGCATTAACAGAGCAGACTCACCATCAGGCATGGTGGGGCAGGCGGAGGTGACATCGGCTGCTGCCATCATTTGCAGCAGAGTCTTGGGTGCTCTGGCATCCCACTGCCTCCTGTTTGTTGCAGCTGTGGCAGCCTGCGGGCAGCACTCTGTGTCTAAGAGAATCACTTATTAGCTCCAAAGCAGCCAGGGTGTGACTATGCTGCATCAAACTAAAGTGCTCAGGTACCAAGGCAGTCTAAGATCAGAGCTTAGGAAGCTGACAAATGGTAGTTAAAAGTTGTAACTGATGAATTTAACTGACTGTGAAAGAGATAATTAGTGACATGAATAGACACATTCATTGAATCATGTGGAGAACCCAATCGCTTTCCACAGAACACAATCTATTCTATTCTCTCTCTCTCTCCCCCCCCCTTGTTTTCATTTTTTTTGCCCAGAACTAGGGTGTAGGTGCTGTAACTTAGCTTTTTCACTCAAGGCTGGTGCTCAACCCCTTAAGCCAAAACTCTGCTTCCAATTTTTTGGTGGTTAACTGAAGATAAGAACCTCAAGGACTTTCCTGCCTGGGTTGACTTTGAACCATGATCCTCAGATCTCAGCTTACTGGTGCCCACTGTTTTTGCTTTTTGATTTTTTTAATTTGTTTTTGTTTATTTTTTATTTTTATTTTTATTTTTTCAGTCATGTGCCTGAACTCTGGGCCTGGGCACTTTCCCTCAGCTCTTCAGCTCAAGGCTAGAACTCTACCACTTGAGCTACAGCACCACTTCTGGCTTTTTCTGCTTATGTGGTGCTGAGGAATTGAACCCAGGGGCTCATGCATGCAAGGCAAACACTCTACCTTTGAGCCACCTTCCCAGCCCCTTTTATTTATTTTTTGTATTTGTTTTTTCAGTATAGGAATTTGCACTGACACTGAACCATGCCACAGCTCTCTGGACATATTTTATGCCTCCTTTCCTTTGCTTGTGACACTTCTTTGGTATGGAGGAGGGCAGTGTCCAGGTTACAAAAAGAGTTCCCTAACCACCATTCACAATATGCAGCTCAAGGGAGAGCCTCAATCAAATACCTTGTCACTTGAGTAATGATGCTCCAGAAAGATATGAGGCAAAAAGTACTCTAGGAAGGGAAACTGAGACATTCAGGTTCACACTTGGTATAGGGTAAGATGGGTGCTCTGGCAGGCTGTATGACCCCTATTATGTTGTAGGAAAGAAAGGAAGCTAGGGTAGGAAAAGTGGGTCACTGGGAGATCAGCTAGTCAGCATTAAGTGTGAAACCATGTAGAATTGACTTTACACTCCAGAAATTATATAATAGCTACTATTAATAGTTAACTATGTTATAACTATTATATTACAAAATTGTTATAATACTAGTGATTATAATAAATATTAGTTATTATGACTATTATTATTGTTTGGCTGTTTATTAGTAGTAGTAGTTGTAGTAGTAATAGTATGGCAACCAGGTAGAGAATAAAGAGAAACCCTCTAGAAAATAGGGCAATAAAATGGGGAAAGCATAGAGGAAATGAAGAGAATACCATTTGTTAAACCATAGCACATGGCTGGTATCCTCTATATCATATCTCCCCTGTCATATGGTGAGATTATTTTCCTTACAATACCCAGTGTGGCTATTACTACTCCTAAGAGGAAGTATGTAACATAGAAGATGATTCTATGATCAGAAAGTACAGCATCAGCTGGGATTCAAGCTCCCACCATCTCTGTTACTATGCTGCTGAAGGATGACAAAGTCATGAGTGAGCCATACTGGGCAGAAGGAGGAGGAAGAATCCAGAGCATTTCAGAGGAGGAGCTGCCCTGGTGTGCAGGAGCAGCAAGGATAAGCAGGAAGAGACCCAGGAGCCAAGAGGAACATTTGAGACAGACAGCTAATGAAATGGCTCCTGCTCATCCACAGCTTTCAAGGAACACCTACCAGTTTCTGGGCCACAAAGCTCTTCAGAGGCTTTGTCTGTGTACTCTTCTTGCCCCTTCATCTGTCTGTATTCCTTCAACTTCATGCCATCCTCGAAGGTCAAATTGTCAGTTAGTGCAACCATTACCTAAAGCAGTTCCACAGTGTTTCATGAGAAATAGACCTTGGGAAGAGGCTACAATTCTTTTTAAGTATTACTAAGATGTATGTTAAGTATTAAATATATAACTATTAAGCAGAATTGTACATAGTTGTGTGTGTTTATGTGTAAGCTACTATTGAACTCAGGGCCCCTCACTGTCACTTTGCTTTTTTACTCAAGGCTGGCACTGTACTTTGAGCCACAGCTCCAGTTTAGCTTTTGGCTTAATTGGAGCTAAGAATTTCAAGGATCTTCCTGCCTGGGCTGGCTTTGAGCCCAGGTAAAAAAAATCCAAGATAGAGGCTGGGAAGGTGGCTCAGTGGTAGAGCGCTTGCCTCGCATGCATGAGGCCCTGGGTTCGATTCCTCAGCACCACATAAGCAGAAAAAGCCGGAAATGGAGCTGTGGCTCAAGTGGTAGATTGCTAGCCTTGAGCTGAAGAGCTGAGGGACAGCGCCCAGGCCCAGAGTTCAGACCCCACGACCGGACCCCCCCCCAAAATAAAAGAAAATCTAAGAAACTCTTATCTCTAACCAGTAAAAAGCTGGAAGTGTGTCTCAAGTGGAAGAGTGCCAGCCTTAAGTGAAAAAACTAAGCAGAACATAAAACCCCGAGTTCAAGCCCTGGTGCCTACACACGCACACACACACACACACACACACACACACACACACACACACATTTGGAAAACTTGAATACCCAAGCCCCTTCTAAGACTATTTAATGGAATTTGCCCCTAGAGCCCATAAAACAATGTCATAAAACTTTTCTCTTAGCTGAAATGTCTATTTTTATGACTTACCTCATCCTCCTGGAAGGAGTCTTCACTAGAAACACACTTGTCTAAGGGAATTTCAAACTTTATCCCCCTCTAGAAGGCAACAAAACAAAATTTAAAAAGTCTTTGTTTAGCAGTTCAATAAAAGCTTTACAATTATAATCCCTTGGGTCAATTTATTTTGATAACAAATAAATAGGGTTATTCTATGAAATAGAGGAGAAATTAGGTAGGCAACCTAGATTATAAGGGTTAAACCCACAGGCAGCCTTCTAACATGAAATCAAAAGAAAAAAAGTTTATTACTTTAGCTTTATATTTCTGTTCAGGAATTTTACTTTCTTTTGTGTTCTGAAGCCTAATTTGTTTTTAAGTCTTTCAATGTCCTGGAATTTAAGATAAAAACATAATACTGTCATTTAATTTTATTTTCCAACTTCGGAATTCACAGCACTTGGTACTTCTATGATCTGATTTTTAGATTGAATTGGGTGATTGATTTGAAAACAAAAGCATCCTTTACTAAGGAAAGTCAGTCATTCATCAAAAACTCAGGCATAGAATGCAACAAATTGAGATATTTGTGGATTTATCATGGGCATTGCAATGGGTAAAAATTCTATAGTGTGATGAAGTGTTCATTGCTCTAGTACAGTCCAATGCAACCCAATCCAGTTCAAGTATGTATTTTTCTAGGACTAGGAATTGAACTCGGTACTTCATGCATACTAGGCAAGCACTCCCTCTGAGCCATATGTTGGCCCAAGAATATAATTTTGACAACAGAATCTCTCTCTTAAAAGGCTTAGGATCTCAGTCAAGAAAGTAAGAAAAGTGTCCAACTCATGACAATGTAAAGGGTGGGCTGTAAAAATTGATAGGCAATTTTAAGGAAGAAGACAAGAAGACTATATACAGCAGATAACAAGAGTTTAAAAGGCAAGGTTGAGAGGTGAACTGTGTGCTGAGGTTTCTTAGGCTCTATCTTGGGCTCTCCACTCTTCCTTTCTTTTCCACAAGGGAGCCTGATGCATTTCTATCAATTAAGTCCCAGCTTTATGCAATGACTCCTTATGCAGTGTGTCATCTAGTTTCCCCTTTCCCCTCTTCTAAGCTTCAGACTCAGCATCCTGCCTAGTTAGCGTCATCTTCAATTTGTTGATTGCTTTGTGTGTGTGTGTGCCAATATTGGGGTTGAACTCAGGGCCTCACATTCTCACTTGGCTTTTTCACTCAAGGCTGGCATTCTACTACTTGAGCCACACCTCCAGTCTGGCTTTTTGATAGTTAATTGGAAATAAGAGTCACACAGACTTTTCTATCCAGGCTGGCTTTGAATCTGTATCCTCAGATCTCAGTCTCCTGTTGTCTCTCTGAAGCAAAGATGGCATTTCTATGTTTTCTAAATACCATATTTCTGAGTTGCCTTCACTAGGCCCCATTTTCCTAAAGTTATCCTGTCTCTTCATCACTTTCCAATCCCAATTTCTTAAGCTACTGAGGAGGCTGAGGCAGAAAGATTGTAAGTTCAAGGGCAAGCCAGGGCAATATAGTGAAAAACAAAGAGAAAAACAAGGATGCTCAGGCTGTAACTCAGGACAGAGCACTTGCCTAGCATTTGTGAGGTCTTGATTCAATTTCAACATCACAAATTAAAAAAAGAAAAATTAAGCATTCACTTACTATGTGATCCAGCTAATCCAATCCAAAGGGTTTATTCAAAAACAAGAAGACCATGTCTACACAAAGATTTGTACATAAATGTTCACTGCAGCTTTATTTATAATAGTCAAAGGCTGGAAACAACTCACACACCCATCCACAGTAACTAGACAAGCAAATGTTGACACATTTATAGACTTGTATGTATCCAGCCCCAGTGAGGAACAACAAACTATTCATATGTGCAATGTGGACAATTCGTGACATTATTATGCAGAAGGAAACCAGACAATAGAGAGCAGAGTACAGTGTGATTCATTTACATATTGCAAATGAATCTAGAAAATGCAAACTCAGCAGCTGTGACAGGAAGCAATTCTGTGGTTGCCTGGGGAAGATGGGGGGTGGCGTGCGAGGGGTGGGGGAGGGGGCGGGGGGTGGGGGAGACACCGAGAAAGAAAAGAGGAATGAATAAGAGGACCTGAGCTTTATAAAAGGATCTCACATGATGGTTGAGTCTATCATGTTGCACAGGAAGAGGTGAGAAGCACTAGGCTAGAGCAACCCCACTGGAAAGAACAGAGGCCCAGCAGCCATCCCTACCTGCACAGGCCTCTTCTTCAGGTGCATCTTCTTTACCAAATAGGTTTTATGACTGATTTTTGAGTTCTCCTTTAATACAGATGGTACATGGTCAAAAAGATTGGTTCTGTGTGAATTCTGGAAGCTACTTTCTGTCCCTTCACCAGAGCTCATTAAGAACATGCTATTATGCTGCTGCAGACAAGATCGTTGGAGGCAGCTACTCCCAGTGTGTGTGTGTGTGTGTGTGTGTGTGTGTGTGTGTGTGTGTGTGTGTGTGTGTGTGTGTGTGTGTGTGTGTGTGTGCTGGGCGTGAAACTTGGGGCTTCATAATCCTAGGCAGCAATTCTACCACTGAGCCACATCCTACCACAAGAGTTGTCTTTGTGGTTCTTTTTCCCTGAGACTGTCTTGTTATTTTTCAGGTGCTTTTTTTCATAGCTTTTCTAGAAATGTCTGCTATGTAGTCCTGGCCTAACATGTATTAGTTCCTGGGCTGGAACCTCAGCATGGGAAGAAAAAAAAAAGCAACAAGGCAGGATAGATTAGGCCGGTGAACAGCAGACAGGAGTTCAGAAACAATGCATTTAGAAACATAGAAGCACTATCTTTCTTGCTTCTAAATACACTGTTTCTGAATATCAAGGATAAACATTGATTTCATGGCCGGATGCCATTATTTTCCTGGAAGTGATGTTCAAACATAAAGATCAAGGATTAAAGAGTAGGTCAGACTTAGACACTCAGAGCCCAAGCAATAAAAGGGTAACACTAAGAGTGATTCAGAGTAAAGATACACAGTTATCCTGAATAACTGTTCGTCAGACCCTGCCTTCATATAAATACCCCTGATGTCAAAGACCTCTGTGTCTCTCCCTCTGAGCAACCACACTTTATCTGTCAGAGTAAGCCTCTTTCTTTCTGCTTGTCTGTTTTCCTGCTTACTCAGTAAAGCTCTGCTAAGTTTTCTTACCATTATGACTTGTCCAGAAATAGGACTTAAATTGGAAAGTCCTCATGTCTAAAGGGCAACTTCACAAACCTTCCCCTAAACTCCTAACAGGAAGAAGGAAAGGAAGGGAAGGAAGGATGGGAGGGAGGGAGGAAATGAGAGAGGAAAGGAAAGGAGAAAGAGAAAAAGAAAGGAAGGAAGAAATGGAAGAAAGGAAGGAAGAAATGGAAGAAAGGAAGGAAGAAATGGAAGAAAGGAAGGAAGAAAGGAAAAAAAGAAATGGAAGGAAAGAAGGGGGAAAGAAGATGGAAGGAAGATAAGGAGGGATGGAGGAAAGAAAGGTCTTCTACCCATCTTTTTGGTGTCAGAACTCCCATCTCAGACCCATTACATGTAAAGCTGTCAATGCATAAGGATCTGAGCATGAACCACACTGTGCTCTGGAGAAAACCTTCCCCAGGCTGCAGCTCCTGCACATCTGATCACTACATTTAAGTTAATCATTTTCAGTATCTACTAATTTAGTCAACTCTAAACTGGAAGAACAATGTTTCCTTCTAGAAGGGTGAATTTACCTCCAGTTCTCTCCCCATCTTCTTCCTGATTTCCTTCATGTCATTGTGATACTGTTGGCGTATTTCTTCTAGCTGCTTCCAATATTCCTGGAAAGCAAAGCCAACCCAAATACTCTAACATTTGTGAACAACTTAAAAGTAGTCTCTATAAAATCCATACTTTTTTTAAGAAGTGACATAAAATAAGCATTCAAAATGTGTTATTCTCAAACATCATAATCTGCCATGTTTTGGCCATGGATGGTTCTTCACACCCCATGAGAGATACATGGGCTTGCACAGATCCTATGCTCATACAGGACCCTAAATGCACTGACATAGTTATGCATCCAATGTTGATTTCAGATTATGTTATAGGTTGAAATTCATTCCCTCTAAAGATAGGTGGAAGCTGAAAAGATGGTGCACTCCCAAGTATTCGGGAGGTAAAGGCAGGAAGATCCTTGAGCTCTGTGGTTTAAGATGTAACCTGGGCAGCTTAGGAAGACCTCATCTCAAAAACAAAACCAAATGAACTCTGCTGAAGTCCTGTTTCCTGGCACCTTAGAACATGGCCTGATTTGGGAACAGGAGCATTGCAGAGATAACTAGTTAACATGCAGTCATGGAGCAAAGTGGCTCCCTTTGAAAATGACCAGGTGAAAACTGAGATGCCACCATGTGACAAAAGGCAGATGTTAGAATGATGCAAGCAACCGCAAACCAAGGAATGCCAAATATTGCCAGGAAAGCATCAGAAGGTAGGAAGAGGCACAAAGATCCCCTCTAAGTTAGATGGAGGCCGTGAAGAGTGTAGAATGTCATTACTTTGATTCTGTACTTGCAGCTTCCAGAACTGTGAGAAAATACATGTCTGTGTTTTTAAGCTAGCATCCAGCTTGCTATACATGGACAGCACAGCCCTGGGAACACTAATGTTAAATAAGTTAATGATAGATAATTTAAGTGACCCAAGGTAAACACATTATGATTAACTGGTGGTAAGTAAGTAAAATTTTCGCTCTGTGTCCCCTAAAACACCAAGCTTGGTTCTTCACATGCTCAGTATTTGTACACTGAGGCATACTGAAGAAAAGGGACTAACACATGTAAGCCCTAGAATTCAACTGTTTTTAACCTGGTCCTTCATGTCCTTTTTTCTAAATTGTAGCTCCTGGGACCCAGTTTCTTCTCCACGGTCTCTTAGCTCTTGCCTCTGGTTGTGATTTGGTTCAGCAGAAGAAGGACGAAGACCCTATTGATTGAATGAAATTATTTATAAGGTACATTTGCATTTTGGGAACAGCTTCTGAGTTGACCCTGACTTCTTCCTATAGACAAGAATTATATCACCAAACAAACTCAGTAGTTTGGAGAGTTTTTGGAGTAAATAATATAATTTTCTTATTTCCCTTTTCCTTCATTTTGTTTTGTGGTGATACTGAAGTTTGAATTCTGTGTCTTACATTTCCTAGGCAGGCATTCTACCATTTGAGTCACACCTTTAATTCCTGCCCCCCACCCTTTTATTTTGTTAGTCCTGTGGCTTGAACTCTGGGTCTGGGCACTGTACCTAAGTTTCTTTTGCTCAAGGCAAGCTCTGCTATTTAAGCCATGGCTCCACTTCTGGTTTTTTTGAGTGGTTTACTGGAGATAAGAGTTTCACAGTTTCTCCTCTGGACTGGCTTTGAACCTCGATCCTCAGATTTCAGCCTCCTGAGTAGCTAGGATTATAAGCATGAGCCACCAACACTGGTCTACATTTCATCTTTCACCCTTTTTGCTTTAGATTACATTTTAGGTTACATGTTTTTGTTTGAGTAAGTCTGGACCATAATCCTTCAACCAACAGTCTTCCTCCCATAGCTGTAATACAGAAGTGTACCATAATGTTTGTCCAATAACATTTGTTGAGATGGAAGCTTACTGACTTTTTATCTTGGCTGGCTTCAGACACTTTACATGGGGCTGAGATTACCCAGGTGTAATCCACCTTACCTAGTAGAATTTTCATAATTTAAATACTAAACAATTTTTTAAATTTCCCATGAATGCTGTGTATTCTAAGCAATTATTTTATGTTATCATTTTAGATGTTAAATTCATTTTCTGACTTGATAAACTATAATTATAAAATTAAAAAGAAAAAGAAAGAACTATTTAAAAATAAAATACAAATAAGCTAGACCCCAGTGGTTCTTTTTTTTTGGGGGGGTGGGGTGGTCCAGTTGTGGGGCCTGAACTCTGGGTTTGGGCACTGTCCCTCAGCTCTTCAGCTCAAGGCTAGCACTCTACCACTTGAGCCACAGCACCACTTCCAGCTTTTTCTGCTTATGTGGTGCTGAGGAATCAAACCCAGGACCTCATGCATGCAAGGCAAGCGCTCTACCACTGAGCCACCTTCCCAGCCCCCCTAGTGGTTCTTATTGTAATTCCAGCTACACAGGAGGATGAGATCAAGAGGATGACAGTTCGAAGCCAGCCTGGGCAGAAAAATCTAAAAGACTCCATCTCCAAAATAAACCAGCAAAAAATCAAGCTGGTGATGTTGCTCAAGTGGCAGAGCACCAGCCAAGCAAGCCTGAAGCCTTGAGTATAAGCTCTGGTATTAGCAAAATAATAAAAATTAATAATATAAAATAAATAATAAAATAAGATCAACACAGAAAGGAAATCTGAAGCTTATCTACTCCAAAATCATTATTTATAGAAAAGGAAATTAAGCCTAAAGGTTGCATAAACTGCGAGGGGACACAGCAAGTCATAGAGCCAGAGATGAAACTAAGCTTCCATACTTTAATTCCAGCTTATTGCTACTCTTCTTCTTCAACTATTAAAATCAAAAAACAAACAAATGAAAAAAAAAAACACCTGAAAATTGCTGGGCACTGGCGGCCAACACTTGTAGTCCTTGTTACTCAGAAGGCTGAGATCTGAGGATTCCCAGTTTGAAGCCAGCCCAGTTTGGAGATAAAATCTTTATCTCCAATTAACCACTTAGAAAGCTGGAAGTGGTTGTGGTTCAAGTGGTACAGTGCTAGCCTTGAGCAAAAAAAAAAAAAACTCAGGGATAGCGACCAGGCCTTGAGCTCAAGCCTTTAGACACACACACAAACACACCCCACCCCACCCCAAAACAGAACTGCCAGGTACTGGTGCCTCACACTTGTAATCCTACTCAGGAAGCTGAGATCTGAGGATAGAGTTTTGAAGGTAGCCTCAAAACAGACAAATCCAAGAGACTCTATCTCTAATTAGCCATTAAAAAGCCACAGTACAAATGTGGTTCATGTGATAGAGTATCAGCTGTGACTATTAAAAAAATGAGCAAAAGTACAAGGCTTTGAGTTCAAACCTCAGTACAAACACAAAAAAACAAAGTTAAACTGAGAACTGGTAGATGGGTGGTCTTGACCTTCTAGTGACATGACTTGAACTTAAGGATTCATAAATATCCGTGAACAGAGAAAACTATTAGCAAAATTGCTTTCCAGGCACAGTATTTTACTCACCAATTGCTTTTCTACTTTCAACTTATATTGCTGAGCTTCAAATTTCCTCTGAAGGTATTCGGCAGGCCTTGAGAAATAAGAATATTGGGCATGAGAAGTAGGCCTTGATCCTTGAGTACACTGAAGTTCTGACTGTGCCCAGTCCCTGAAGTAGAAATATGCCCAATATGACAAGTGAATTTTCAGCTTAATAATGGGACTTAAGATTCACCTCCAACTTGAATTTCCAAGGTCAAGAAGTAGTTCAAAGTTACCATGAGTTTAGATCAGGAAAGAAAGTTTTTGGAAAGAACTGAGGGTACAGAGAGGGGTGAACAGAAAATATCATGATGTGATAGATTTTTCTTCAGGACATGATTATTCTAGCCTAGACACATGGCAGGCAAACAAAGCACTCTGTGTGATAGTAAATCTACAGCTCCTCGCTCCTGGCTTCATAGTGATCCTCACCTCCCTGCACAAAACCTTGAGCCACTTGGAAGTGGATAGGGATCCATCCTTCTTCCTTTACGCTGGCACATAAATGCTTCATGAACAAAGATGATGCTTCTGCTGCCTCTCAAAATGTTGTGTCTTTTCAAACCACCCCCAGGTTTATGCCCTCAGGTTTATGCCTTATCTATACTCTCTCTCTCTCTCTCTCTCTCTCTCTCTCTCTCTCTTTTAAGATACTGTCTCTATATCACTCAAGCTGGCCTCGAGCTTGAAATCCTCCTAATTCAACTTCACAATGCTAGGATTATAGGAATGTGCCACCATGCCTGGCTAATTTTTTTTCTTTCTTTTTTTTTTGGTTGGTGGTGGGGCTTGAAGCCCTGAGACAGACTCAGAATTTCTCCCAGTTTTGGCCAAAAGTATAAACAGATGTATTCTTCTATTTATATATGTATTTATCATGTCTCCTTCCCTTCCTTCTCTCTCTGTCTGTCTCTGTCTCCTGTCTGTCTGTCTGTCTCTTTCTCTAGCTTTTTCTGCTCAAAGCTAACACTCTACCATTTAAACTACAGCTCAATTTCCAGCTTTTTAGTAGTTAATTTGAGATAAGAGCCTCGCAGCCTTTCCTGTTCAAGCTGGCTTTGAATTGCAATCCTCAGATCTCAGCCTCCTGAGTAGCTAGGAATACAGGTGTGAGCCACTGGCTCCCAGCATTTCCTTTTCTCTTAATGCAGGCAAGCATTTGGATTGTGAGCCAAGCTTTAGGGCTAAGAGTTTCAGTGACAAGAAGAAATAAAAATATTAAAAGATTAGGAATCTTGCCTACAGTTAAATAACCCCATGAATAAGAAAATATTTTATAAACATAGGTCCCATGGTTTCCCTTATTTGCAATATCTAGTATATGTCTGAGTCAAACAGAAAATGTCAGATAAGGTGATGTTAGGGAAATGAACCCTAAGATATGTATTCAAATGTTTTTTTTTTTTAATTTCATGCGATTGTTTCTAACACATTTATAAGATTATTTCTTTGTTGCTTTGTATATCCCTCCCCCACAGCATAACCCCTGCTTTCACTGTATTTGATGTCAGTATAATTTGTGGAGGGGAAGGGGAAAAACAAATCGTTTAAATAGGGATACAGGTGGACCCATTGCAACAATGAGATGTACAAGTTGTTATGTAGAAAACGAACTTTACAACTTTGGTGCGGGGCGGGGCGGGGGGGGGCGCTAAGGGGGGCGGGGAGGATTGGGGGGTGGAGGGGGAGGATGGGAAGGGAAGGATGGGAAGGGGAAACAAAGGAGGAGGCTACAGTGCTTGATAAGAAATGTACTCATTATCTTGCCCATGTAATTGTAACCCCTCTGTACAGTATTTTCACAATTAAAAAAAAGAAAAAGAAAAAAAGAAAAAAATATTTTATATCAAATTTGATATAAATAAGTGTTTAAAGTGGAGATTTTTTGGAAGTTCTCCCTCACTTATTTTAGGAGAATTTGGGGAGACTTTGGAATATATAATGTTGACAAATGATGTTTAGTCCAGGAGTTCAAGACCAGCCTGGGCAACAAAACAATTCAATCTCAGACCAAACAAGAGGGTGTTGAATGTGTTTAAAGCTATTTTCAGAACATCAAAGACAAGGTTGACCACAGCATACCATTGAGCAGGTGATGTGTTGTGGCTTTCTTCCCAGTTAGATCCTTCAATTCCAGAAGCTTTTTGAGGGACACAGTGATAGTTTGGTTCATGGATTCTCTTCCTTAGCAGGTCAAGTTGAGCATAATAAAAGTCATAATGTCCACAAACTGCAGCTACTTTGGGCCTTTCCATCATTTTTATCTAGCAGATTAAAGAAAAAAAGAGTAATGACTTTTTTTAAATGTATAATGTAAATCTACCATTGAAAAATATTTTTGGTGGTACTGAGGTTTGAACTCAGAGTCTTTCTCTACCTCTACTACTTGAATTACTACTACTACTACTACTACTACTCAAGTAGTAGAGTAGCCATGACTCAAGGTCTGGTATTTTGCTGCTAGGATTTATTTTAAAATTTAAAGATTAAAAGACTTTAAAATCTATTAAATGAGAAAGCTATTCATCATTTTACAATCTTTCTGTCTCTCTCACTCTCTTTTATTTATTTATTTTTATTTTTTGTCAGTCATGGGGCTTGAACTCAAGGCCTGAGTGCAGTCCCTGAGCTCTTCTGCTCAAGGCCAGGGCTCTACTACTTTGAGCCACAGGGCCACTTCCAGTTTTCTGGTGGTTAAGTGGAGATAAGAATCTTACGGACTTTTCTGCCCAGGCTGGCTTTGAACACATCTCAGCCACCTAAGTAGCTACGATTACAGGTGTGAGTGACTGATGATCAGCTCATTTTACAATCTCAGTTGTGTATAACCCAAGAAGAACAGCTTCTTTGGGATTTTCTCTGAAGTCCAAGTAGATAATGGGTGGTTCCCATGCAGATATATTTATCTCTTCTTTAATAGAAGTTGTTTAAGTGATTAGCAAAGATATCATTTGGTTGATAGTCCTTATAACTTAATCTACTCTCAAATCTTTCAGCTAATTTTTCTCCTACAGACATGATACAGATTTCTGAATCATGGCAGATTTTTCTGATTTCTTTAGTAGAATTAGTCACATTTTTTCAATAAAAAGCAGTAATATAGACAATAATTTCCAAATCTGTTTACATACCAACATACTTTCTGCAAAAATCCATATATCAAGTAAACATATAGTAAATGGACTTCTAAATGGTCTTGGATTATACAATGAGCCTTCCTTAAAAATGTGATTCTTTGGGCCAGGCACCAGTGTCTCATGTCTGTGATCTTAGCTACTCAGCTGAGATCTGAAGATTGCTGTTCGAAGCCAGCCCAGGGAAGAAAAGTCTATGAGACTCTTGTCTCCAATTAAGCTAAAAAAAACTGGAAGTGAGCTGTTGCTCAAGTGGTATGCTAGCTTGGAGTACAAAAGCTCAAGGAACATTTCCCAGGCCCTGAGATCAAGCCCCAGGACCAGTGACAAGAAAAAAAAACTCTAGTAATATTTTTTAGGGGGGAGGTCTTTGGATATTGCTCAATAGTAGAGCACTTGTCTAACTTGAGTGAGCCTTTGCATTCAGTCCCAGCACAGTACAATAACAAAGTGGTCAATTTATCATTTATTTACCAGAAGCATTTCATTAGTGTGACCTAAAAGATTCAACATTCCATTAAATAAATTCAATTAACTAAGCACAAAGAATCTAGAAAAAGGTTAATTATTATAGAAAAATTTTAAAATGCATGCTAATAAAGTAACAGTAAAATAGCAATACTTTTATGATTCAAATGACATGTAGCAATTTAGAGTATGAAATACAGTATGGGGTTTTGGCTTGCTTTGTTTGAAATAGGTTCTTGATATGTAGCCTAGGCTGACTTGGAATTCTCAATCCCCCTGCCTGAACCTTCTGAGTGCTGAGATTAGAGGCATGTATCCCCATACCTACCAATGCTGTGTTTCCTGCCATTGCGTTACTCCATCATTCTGTAGAGAAATATTTTTTCTTATATATACAAAAAATTAGAAAATTTTCAGCTATAAAAAGAAAACTTAGCTAGGCACCAGTAGGTCACTCCTGTAATCTTAGCTTCTCAGGATCACTGTTCAAAGCCAGTCCAGGCAAGAAAGTCCATGAGACTTTTATCTCCACTTAACCACCAGGAAAATGGAAGTGGCTTGTAGCTCAAAGTGGTAGGGTGCTGTAGCTCAAAGTGGTAGAGCACAGAGACAAACCCTGGGTTCAAAGTCCATGACAAGAAAGAAAGAAGGAAAGAAAAGAAAAAGAAAGAAAGGAAAGAAGGAAGGAAGGAAGGAAGGAAGGAAGGAAGGAAGGAAGATGAGATGTAGTAATAAAAGTTTTTTTAATAGCAACTAAAATAAAGTAAGAAATGTTCACTTTCATGCATCGCATTAAAGAATGATTTACTATGCCTACAAAACTTATAGACTCCAAATTAATTAGCTTGTACTAATTAGCTTGCAATGAACATATATGGTCAGGTCGGTCTACAAGAGCACAGCACAGCTAAGAAAGAGAGGGGTTTAGCTTGACTTACACATATGGGGTTCCGGGCTCCAGCTGGGGGTCTCCATTCATTTCTATGTAATACATCCTTCTTTTTAGCTGGCACTGATATTTTTGATCGCAGTGGACATTTGCCCTGGAACTTCACTCTGTGTATTTTAGAATCTTATTAAAACAAAATAAAATAACTTCATTTAAAAAATTAGTATTGACACCTGAAAGAGTATCAAAGTAAGCTGCAATGCCAGGCACCTGTGGCTCACACCTATAATCCTAGCTACTCAGGAGGCTGAGATCTGAGGATCATGGTTCAAAGCAAGCCTGGGCAGACAAATCCAAGAGACTATTATCACCAATTAACCTACAAAAACTTGAAGTGGAGGTGTGGCTCGAGTTTTGAGTGGAAAAAGCCAAGCAAAGAGTTTGAGGCCCTGAGTCAAGCTCCAGTGAATATAAGCACAAAAACAAAGAAACAAACCCAAAAATATAAGCTATAAGTCCTGACACAGAAAATTTATTTTAGCCAGAAATATTCTGCACACAGAATGAAATACCACTACGTACTCTCTTTGAATGGAGGAAAACATTTTGTTGAGGGTTCCTTTACCTATTGTCGGCAATAAATAACATGACAAAATATTTTTTTTTGGCAGTACTAGGGTTCAAAATTAGGGCTTCAAATTTGCTAGACAGGAGCCAGATCCCTTGAACCACATCTCTAGCACTAACCTAACATTTTATTAAGGGTGGAATTAATATCAATGTTAACAGAAACAAAAAGCATGGGATAATGGTAAAAGTAAATAGAGTCATGAGAGCTTAGGTTCTGAAGTGACATCATCCTTTTTATGTGTGCTAGTACTAGGACTTAAACTCAAGGCCTCGCCCTCTTGCTTGGCTTTATTCACTCAAGTCTGAGCCACACCTTCACTTCTGACATTGTTTTCTAGTTAGTCGGAGACAAGAGTTTCAGAGACTTTCCTGCCCAGGCTGGTTTGTAACCTCAGTCTTCAGTCTCCTGATTAGTTAAGATTACATGTGTGAGCACCAGCTTCCCACAAAGTGGCACCATTCTTGTTTCAATGTGGCTTAAAATGTAGGTAGGCCTTCTCACACATTATCCCCATCAAAAATGTGTTCCCGTTTTCTGATCTCTCCCACATCAATAATGTGGACAAATATACTTCCTTTCCTACTCTATTAACCTGCTTTCTAAGCCTTTTCAGTCCATAACAATCACATCAAATCTGGCAAAGAGTCTCACTCATTTTCCTTTTATAATGTTCCCTCCACTTTTCTTTCTCTATCATGGTGGATGACATTTTGCTAGCACAAATTCCTTAGAGAAATTTTCTCTTCCTGATCCTGTAAGTCCAAGCATTTGGTTATGACTAAACCTTACTGGTCTGATTGCCACTTGGATAAACATAGCTTCTCATCCTTAATATAAGCTCCTGTCTTGCATTCACACTGCACTTGATCCCTTCTGTGGATTCCTGCCACCTGACTAATATTGTTCTCTAGACCTACAACTGTCATAAAGCATCATCTGCTTCATTCATGTCTCAATATAATTGTCCTTACATTGCTTTCAAATAGTTCCAAGATCCTAGGCCAGCTCCAAGAGAATTCTCAATTACTAGTCCATCCTGTCTATTTCAGAAAGAAGCTGAAACTAATCCTCCTATGTCTGAGCCTTCTTCCAAGAGGTAAGCTTTGATGTAGCCTCCTCAAGCATTTCTACCTGCCTGTTGCTTTGTGAAGATTTCCTGAGTAATGAAAACAAAAGCACTATGTCTCCCAGCTTACTCCTGGGCTACCTAAACATCTCAGGCACGTCCCCTAGTGGCCACATGAGCAGACATTTTTCTCCTGCTTACACTGCTTGTGTTTTCTAAGTTTCCAATTCAATAGATTTAGTGGAATTTCCCTGCTAATGTTGCCAGCCATATATTGGACCTTTCTGTGTGAGAGATGCATAATAAGTACTTATTTTTTATGTCAGTTAATGTGTTGACTTTGTCATAAGCTTTGAAACAGGCACATCTAACATGATGGAATGAAAACCTGGTCATCATGCTTATGAACTATCAAAGGATCATAACTGCTTTCCTTTTTTCTTTTCTTTTCTCTTTTCCTTTTCTCTCGTTGCTTTCTTTCTTTCCTCCTTTCCTTTACTCTCCTTACTTCTCCTCCCCTTTCTTGCTTTCCCTTTTCTTTCTTTCTCCCTTCTTTTCTTTTCTTTCTTCCTTCTTTCTTTCTTTCCTTCCTTCCTTCCTTCCTTCCTTCCTTCCTTCCTTCCTTTCTTTCTTTCTTTCTTTCTTTCTTTCTTTCTTTCTTTCTTTCTTTCTTTCTTTCTTTCTTTCTTTCTTCCTTTCTTCCTTTCTTTCTTTCTTTCTTTCTTCCTTTCTTCCTTTCTTTCTTTCTTCCTTTCCTCATGCTGAGGATTTAACCAAAGGCCTCTTCTATGATAAGCAAGTACTCTACTATTGAGCTACACTCTCAGTTCCTACAAAAGGTATTTTTTGAGTCAGACCAGACCAGGCTGGCCTTGAACTATGATCTTTCTGCCTCAGACTCCCAAATGCTGGGATTACAAGCACAGCTACCACAATCGACAAAGAATTGTCATTGCTTTGTGTGTGTGTGTGTGTGTGTGTATGTGTGTGTGTGCTGTAATTGAACCAAAATCCTTGTGAATGCTCTGCAAGCAAGCACTCTACCACTTAGCCTTGCCCCTCAAGTTCAATGGAAGTTCTTGGATCATATAGTCAAATCATTCTTACCCGGGACTATCTTCCCAGAAGGCTGAGAGGCTAAGGATCTTGCTTTATGTAGAAGTGTATGGCTGAATTCTTCTTGAATAACCTAAAACCAAACATACATATCAATGATCTGCCAATCAAAACCTCTGTCAAACACAGTCACTTCAAAACTCACCTCAGGAGTCAAGTATTTAGCAATAAGAATCTCTAAAAAGGGCTTTTTCAAGATGGAATTAACAGATGGTCGATCTCGAGGAGACACCTTAAAGAGCTGAAGTACCAATGACTGTAGATCATGAGAAAACCTTGGTGATATTGGGGCAAATTGTGCTTGACAAATCTTCAGGACTAGCTGGTGTAAGTTGGTACCTTCAAACTGACAAGACAAGAACAAGGCAATACATTGGAGAAATGTTAAACACTGCTATTAAACCTTAAGTAAACGTTCCAAGAAGAAAAAACAACTCATTAATTTATTGGTTTATTACTTCTCTGTGTGTGTGTCTGTGTCTGTGTCTGTGTGTGTGTGTGTGCCTGCACTGGGCTTGAACTCAGGGTCTGAACACTGTCCCTCAGCTTTTTCACTCAAGGTTATCATTCTACCACTTTAGCCACAGCTCCATTTCTGCCTTTTTGGTGGTTACTTGGAGATAAGAGTTTCATAGACTTTCCTATCTAAGCTGACCTTGAACCATGATCCTTAGATCTCAGCTTCCTGAATAGCTAGGATTACAGGTGTGAGTCACTGGTCTCCAGCTTACTAATACTATTATACTTATTTGTGATGTTGGGAGTCAACACAGGGCCTTACATATTGTAGGAAAGTACTTAACCATTGAGCTACAATTCCTGGCCAGCCTGAGACTGTTTTTAAGCTTCAGAGAGGAGGACTGCATTTTACCCTACAAGGTTGTTATAAGCTAATCTTTCCTAAGTAGATACTGCAGGTAGTCACTCATATTGTGCCATGCTAATTGAAACAGGTTTTGTAGTTTTAGATGTTTTTTTCCTTTAGTGTCGGCTGTGGAATCTGGGGTGTTGTTTGTGTAAGTGTGTTCTTTATCATTGAGCTCTATCTCCAGCCATAGTTTGAATTTTTTTGACTAAAAATATTTTCATTCATTTTAATTTGTAATTATTATCAAAATATTATTTACTCACATTTAAAACCTGGAAGGTATAGGAGGTTATACTCAGGGAAATATGTTTCATGTCACTATTTAGAATACTTCCTTCAGTTGAAGGCATATTATTAGGACATTTTATTTCTTCTTTTCAAAAGTTAAACAGAGCAGGCACTGGTGGCTTGTGCCTGTAACTCTAGTTACTCAGAAGGTTGAAATCTGAGGATCGTGGTTCTAAGCCAACCCTGGGGCAGGAAAATATCTGAAACTCTTCTCTCCAATACCTTCAAGGTGAAGGTATGCCTCAAGTAGTAGAATGCCAACCTTGAATGGAAAAAGCCAAGTGAGAGTGTCAGGCCCTGAGTTCAAGCTCCAGTATAGACATATACACACACAAAAAAGGTTAATAGAATATAAATTGATGGCTTGTTTCTAGAAATCCAGAGGCTTTGCCTAGTGGCCATGCCCCAATAAGAACCACAGGTACTGGGTACTTAATGAGCATTCTTTATAGATAAAATTTTGTACTTAACTTGTTGCTGGAGGATTCAGCATATCCTGGGGGTGGAGGGGGAACACTGTGAAGCATGTGTTTACCTCTGCTAAATGTATATATTATGTATATATATTATATGCATATATAGGCTATATATGTATATATGTATACTTATAATTATTATATTGAATATATGTTATTTTATCTCATTTGGATAGTTTTCTATGTCAGGACATATAATTTTATTATTTATTTTAATTAATTAATTAATTTCCAGTAGTAGGGCTTGAGCTCAGGGGCCTCTTAGCTTTCTTGCTCATGGCCGGCACTATCGCTTGAGCTACACCTTCAGCTTAGCTTTTCACTGGTTAATCAGAGTTGGAGTCTTGAGGACTTTTCTGCCTGGCTGGCTTTGAACCCAATCCTCCTACTTAGCCATGGACACTTAGCTTAGTTTTACCATCCCTTTTGACTGATTATCCATATACTTTTTGCTTTTCTTGTTTGAGACAGGGGTTGTTCTGTGTTTCCCTGGCTTATCTCAAACTCCTGGGCTCAAGTTGAAGCCTCAGACTTCTAAATAGCCAAGGCCATAGGAATACTCAACAATATTCAGCTAGCTAACTGAAGAAAATATTTTCTCTAAGAAGTTAGTTTCACTAAAATGATTTCAATAATTCAAGGTTAATCTGATGATTAACATACTTACTGGATGCCTGAGTGTGCAAAGCTCATATAAAACACAGCCAAGAGACCAAATATCCCTAGGGAAGAGAAGAGTTTATGTGCCAAGGAAATATCCATAATTCTTAGTAAACATTTTTATTCTTCTAATGCCTTGTATGTATATAGCACTATTTTGTCTAGGTTGATGAGTTCTCAAAAATGTTTTCAGGCTGGGCACTGGTGGCTCATGTCTATAATCCTAGCTACTCAGGTGGCTGAATTCTGAGGATCATGGTTCAAAGCCAGCCTGGGCAGGAAAGTCTGTGGGACTCTTATCTCCAATTAACCACCAAAAAACTGGAAGTAGAACTGTGGCTCAAAGTGTTAGAGCACTAGCCTTGAGCAAAAAAGAGCCCAGGGACAGTGCCCAGGTCCTGAGTTCAAGCCCCACAACTGACCAAAAAAAAAATGCTTTCAGATACATACAATCAATTCTAAAATAAGAAGTAAAGCAAAGCCAAAATTTCCCCTAAATAAGCATTGTGATCTTCCTATGTATTTATTTTTGGTAGTAGGGATTGAACTCAGGGCCTCGTACCTTTTGAGTCATGCCCCCAGTCTTTTCTTTTGCATTTGTTTGATACGGTCTCACTAAATTTTCCATGAACAAGCATTGTGATCCTATCTCCCTCTCCTGAGTAGCAGGATTGCCGGAGTGAACCACTGTACTTGACGCATTAGATTTGCTTTTGTCTTTAGAATCAGGTAATACTTCATTTCCATATGATAGGATGAGATTAAAAAAAACACATTAATTAAAAACCAGGGCTGGAGCTCAGAGGAAAATCTCAAGGTTGGATCCCTAGCACTACAAAACAAAACTTCTGAAAAAAAGGCACAAAGAGAAACTTCTCAATGTGATTCATTGTTTCACTTATATCTCTAAATGAAAAGGAATTGTTCTGAACAAACTTTAAAAGACTCAAAAACACTGGTCACAGTTAGGAGTGACTAGCATCCCCCTTCATATATGGAGAAATAAAATTACAAAAGTAGTAGGAAAACAGAGACAGAGAGAGAGAGAGAGAGAGAGAGAGAGAGAAGATTAGAACTTCAGTGTCTGGACCCATAACTCAACAAATCTGACCTGAAACCAGATTGTACTGACACTTTCAAATGAGCCAGGAACTCACGTTTTATTGTTATATGGTTTATTCTGACAGATCTCCGGGGACAGGTAGTAGGGTGTTCCAACACAAGTTCGAGCAAGTTCCATGGAGCTAGCAAGTTACATAGAATAATGAGACAGTATGGTTTGTTCTGGAGAAAGACTTCAGATGAGAAAAAGTATAACAAAAATTTAGCTCATTTGCATAAGTATAAAGAGAACACAAAACATTGTACCTCGATAATAGAATAATAAAAATCAGTAGGTATCTTTAGTTAGCTTTGTTTTGGTGGTACTGGGCTGGGACCCCAGAGCTTCACACATGCTAGCAAGTACTCTACCACTTGAATCACACCTCCAAACCTTTTTTTGCTCTTGTTACTTTGTTTAAAATTAAATTTTATTTTTTTGTAAAGGTGATATACAGAGGAGTTGCGGTTACATAAGTAAGGTAGTGAGTACATTTCTTGCTGAACATTGTTACCTCCTCCCTCATTTTTTCCCACTTTCCTTCCCCCTGACTCCCTCCCCCCACGTTGTAAAGTTAATTTCCAACATAGTGTCTTGTGAGTGTTGCTGTTGCTTACATTGGTTCACTTTGTCCTTTGTCTCACCACTTTGTTATTCTCCTTCCCTTCCCCAAATCAGATAAATGTATAAATGTATATACAATACACAGGGTACCAAACTCAAATACAGTGACAACAGGAGATATTGTTGTTTTTTTTCCTTCCCCCCCCTTTTTTTTTTGCCAGTACCAGGGCTTGAACTCAGGGCCTAGAGACTGCCCCTGAGCTTATTTGTTCAAGACCACGTGAGCCACATCTTCACTTCTGTTTTTTGTTTTTTGTTTGTTTTTTTTGCTGGTTAATTGGAGATAACAGTCTTAGGGATTTTTCTGCCTGGGGTGGGCTTTGAACCTCAATCCTCAGATCTCAGCCTCCAGAGTAGCTAGGATGATAGGCATGAACCATTGGCACCTGGCCTAAAATTGTTTTCCAAAGCAGTTGCACCAGTGAATTCTGTAGTAAGTATAAACCTGCCCATTCTACTAAATTCCCACAAACTTTGGACATACTCCAGCAACAGCTCCTGTTACACAGACTTGTATCATGTTAACCACCCTTACTTCATTATGCCACAATTTATCTTGATAATTTTAAACACAGACATATGAGTGAGTTCATACATTATACAGTTACCAAAAATAATGTAGACTATCAAGCTTTTGCTAGCTTCCTCCTTCACAATACCTCAAAATGCACACTTTAAGTAGGAAAAGAAATGATTGTTGGAAGTACTTACTTATTCAGGACTCTTGCTATACCAAAGTCCCCAAGCTTTGCAACCATTCCATTCTTGCTAAGAAAAATGTTCTAAAATTGGAGGAGAGAAAATGTTAGATTACTTGAGATAGTTTGAGAAAGAGGGGGAAAAAAGATTTTTTTCGATCTTAGTCCTCACTCTGAGGTGTTACCTGAGCTTTGATGTCCCTGTGTAATATTTTCCTGTCATGAATGTGCTTCAGTCCTAGGGAAATCTGCACGAACCAACCCAGGATCTATAGAGGAAACAGAAATCATCTTGCTAGTCACCAAAATGTCTTTATAAAAACATACAAAAAAGAAAGAAATGGTATGTGTTGTATGCATTTATCAGGATGAAGCTAATAGGTACACTTCATATTGTTTTTTTAAATATAATTTTATTGTTTATTAAGGTGTTATACAGAAGGGTTACAGTTTCATAAGTCAGGTAATGAGTACATTTCTTTTTGGATGATATCACTTCTTCCTTCACTTTCCTCCAGTTTCCCCTCCTGTCTCTGTTCACAAATTGCATAGTTCATTTTCCATACAGTGTCTACTGAATACCAAGACTGCATTTGTTCACCCTTCCTCCTTCGTTTCTGTGTCCCCACCCCCTAGCCTTTCTTCTAAGGACAAAAAGCAACAATAATAACAAGAAAACTCAAAAGCAAAAACAAATGACATCTCCTCAATCACTACTACCACCATTACCACCACCAACAAAAACCCATCTTTCCTTCATTTTATAGATAGAAAAATAGAGGTACAGAAAAGCAGTCTAAAATAGATATAAAAGAGGATTCACATGCAGAAAAAGACAGACTGAAACAAGGAATAGAGGAGGGCATTTATGACTTCTTTTTCTTGTTCCACTATTGGGATTTGAACTCAGGGCTTAGGCTCTGTCCTTTATTTTTTTCTGCTCAAGGACGGTGCTCTACCACTTGAGCCTCAGCTCTACATCCTGCTTTTTGAGACTAAGGGTATCAAGGACTTCTGCTGCCTGAGGTGGCTTCAAGCTATTATCCTCAGATCTTAGCCTCCTGAGTAGCTGGAATTACAAGCACAGGCACCAATGCCTTGCTTGATTTTCTTTATTCTTATTTAACATGTGGTTGCAAACATTCTGCTTGCCTACTATTCTTTCAGACCCTCATAACACTGGTGCCTTTAGATTTTCCTTCTCAAGGGATGGAGAATGCCAAGGACAGGAAAAGAAAAGAGAAAGAAGTTATGATTTAAACCAACAAATATTTAATGTTGGGATGGGGGATATAGGTCAATGACAGCACTTGCCTAGCCAGTACAAGGCCTTAAGTTCTATTCCCACGCTGAAAAAATTCAAAAGTTCATTTTGCTAGGGAATACCAACTTTATTTCTTTGTCATGATCTTATCTTATTTAACTATAAGCTTCTTTATTAAAATATGTTCTATCTTATGGAGATTTACTTAAACTACTCTAACATGCACGGTTTTTTGTCTGACAAACTATACAGAAAGAGGAAAATAATGGAAGAAACAGGCTATATTCCAGACATTAAGATTCAGTTGTCTTTTTACTTCTTTCTCAACAAAAGAAAATAGAATTCAAAAATTTTTCATAAAAAGCATTTTTTAATAAAATGTGGTAAAATAATAACTAGACAAGAGAAAGGAAGGTTTCTATAAATATGAGTAGAGTTTAATATAGAATGCAAATGAGCATAGAAAAAAATGCTTGATTAAATTCACAGAGGTTAGAGACAGTGGTTCTTTAATCATTCATACAATCAAAATATTCAGCTTTAACCCCAGAAGGAAATTATACAGGTATAATGCTCTTAACTGCAAAATAGAACAAAGATATATATGGCCTAAAAGAAAGAGGGTGGGTCTTTCCTGTGTGCTGCTTGGGGCAATCTGCTTACCCATCAATCACGAAGGCTCTAATTGGATTCCTCTCCACTTACACATACCTGTGTCCTTTACTGTACAACTCCCAAGAGGGCTCCAAAGAAGGATTGGTGTATGGAAGAAAAAATGTTTTGTGCACAGAAAAAAAAAAAAAGGGGGAAATGGAGATAATTATCCCCTCTCTAGCCTCTCCCCCACCCCCACCCAGCTTTTGTTTTGTTTTTGCAGTGCTAGGGATTGAATTAGTGCCTTTTACGTGTTTAGAATAAACACTCTGCCTGTTTTCACTGTACTTGATGTTGGTATAATTCAGGGAAGTGGACCCATTGTAACAATGAAAGGTGCAAGATGCTATGTCAAAAAACGAACTTCACAACTTTGGCTGGGGGATGGGAGGCAGGGGGCGGGGAGGGAGTGATGGGAGGGTAGAGATGGTAAGGGGAAACAAAGATTACCTTGCTCATGTAATTGTAACCCCTCTGCATGGTATTTTCATAATAAAAAAAAACCTTATTTATAATTAAAAAAAGAATAATATGGACAAAAATGGTTTAGTAAAAGTCATAAAACAATCCTGTACATTTCAAAGGAACAGAAAAATAGAATAAAACTCTGGACCACAAAAGCAAAAAAAAAAAAAAAAGAAAACACTCTGCCACCAAGCTACATTCCCAGCTCCTCTCTCCCTCTTAATAACCAATGAAACTGGGGTTTGGGAAGTAGCCTAATAGGAACAAACTTGCCTAACATGCTTAGAGCCTAAGCCTTACAAAAAGTTGAAAAAAAATGAATAATAAGAAACAGGAGGAAGAGAAAAGAAAGAGGAGAAAGAAGAAAAAGAGAAAGCACAATGCAACTGCTGAGTGTATTGGCACCTATAATCCCAGCACTCAAGAGGATGATGAAGGAAGGTCAAGAATTCAAGGCCAGTCTGGAGTACAGGGTGAGATCAGGCTTACCCTGTACCCATGAAATTTAAACAGCAGTGCTAAAAGAATGATCTATCCTCCTTAGCAAAGAAAGAAAAGAAAAGAGAAAAAGAAAGAAAGAGAAAGAAAGAAAGAGAAAGGAAGGAAGGAGAAAGAAAGAGGAAGAAAGAAATAAAGAAGAAAGAAAGAAAGAAAAAATGATTGATTTTTTTTTATTGTCAGTACTGGAGCTTGAACTAAGGGCCTGGGTACTGTCCCTTTGCCTTTTTTGCTTAAGGCTAGCACTCTACCACTTGAGCCACAGCACTACTTCAGGCCTTTTTGTTGGTTAATTAGAGATGAGAGTCTCATAGACTTTTCTGTCTGAACTGGCTTCCAAGCCCAATTCTCACATCTCAGCCTCCTGAGTAGCTATAAATATAGTTGTGAGCCACTGGCCCCAGAAGGAAGCTATTTTTAAACACAGTATAATGGTAAAACAAAAAAGAGTGAAGCTTTAAATTTGTCACATTTAAAATGGCCAAAGTTAGCTGGGTGCCTATGGCTCATGTCTGGGGGTATGGCTTTGAACCATCCCAGTGAGACTCTCAGTGAGACTGCTATCCCCACTACACTACAAAAAAGCTGTATAGAGCTGCGGCTCAAGTGGTAGAGTGCTAGCCTTGAGCACAAAAAGCTCAGGGACAGAGCCCAGGTCCTGAGTTCAAGGCCCAGAACCAGCACACACACACACACACACACACACACACACACAATTACCAAGGTTGACTAGGTGTCAGTAGCTCAAACTATAATCCTAGTTACCCAGAGGCTGAGACCCAAGGATCATGGTTCAAAGTCAGCACAGGTAGGAAGTCCATAAACTACCAAAAAAAAATCCAAATGTGAAGCTGTAGTTCAAATGGTAAGAGTGCTAGTCTTTAGCAAAATAAGCTCAGAGATAGCTCCCAGGCCTTGAGTTCAAGCCCCAGGATCAGCATTAAGTAAATAAATAAAATGGTGAAGGCACATCCACATTCACATCTTTTTCCCTAGATCTAAGCATCAATGTTAGATGCATCTAATAGCTTATCTTTTCTCAAGAAAACAGTCTCAAAGAGAGTTTCTATTTTAGCTCAATTACAAATATATTTCAGACTAAAAACTACTGGTCCAGTATTTTATGGCTTGAATTTCTCTACCGAAATCATGCTTCATATAGTCTCCTGCATATGATGTAAAAATTAATCATCAAATTATAGTGTTTTACCTGCTCTTCACTAAACAACACTCCACGCTGCCTGTGAATCCTTCTCATGAGATCTCCCCCATCGCAGTATTCCATCACAATGAACAGCCTACTGTGCTCTGGGAGAAAGAAAGGGCATCATTTGGTGCTAAAGGTATTCAGATGTGTATCAGTCACATGCCTCTCAAATTCTAGAAGGTGGGGAATATAACAGAAATATGCAATGTGGGACAGTTCAAAACACTGGTGTGATGGACTGGGTTTTAATTTTAGTTCACTATTTACTTTTTGTTGGTTTGTCTTGAACCTTTTTTTTTTATTGTAAAGATACTGTAAAGAGGGGTTACAGTTACATGAGTAATGAGTACATTTCCTTTCGAGCATTGTTACCCCTCCTTTTTGTCCTGTACTTTTGATCCTTCTATCTCAATCTCTTTTTGCATGTTGGGGATTACAGGCATGCATCTCCACATCCAGCTGCCTCTTACATCTCTTTCTCTCTCTCTCTCTCTCTCTCTTTCTCTCTCTCTCTCTCTCTCTCTCTTCTTTCTTTCCTTCCTCCCTCTCTCCCTCCTTCCCTCCCTCCCTCCCTCCCTCCTTCCTTCCTTCCTTCCTTCCTTCCTTCCTTCCTTCCTTCCTTCCTTCCTTCCTTCCTTCCTTCCTTCCTTCCTTCCTTCCTTCCTTTCTTCCTTTAAAATAACCAAGGATAAAAGAGCTGGAGATGTGGCTCAAAGTGTTAGAGCATCTACCCAGCAAGCGTGAGGCCCTATGGTCAATCCTCAATACTGTTAAAAATTAAAATGATTTTTTAAAATGTTAAGGATATACAAAACAACAAAGAAATACCTTATAAATATGTTAGAAACAACAGCAAGAAAAAAAAAAAACATTTGAGTCCTTATCTTGGGGTTCATTTTACCTAACATCAATTTATCTGACCTTTTCTGCTTGTCTCAGACATACACTAGTTATTACAAATAAGGGAAAGCATGGGACCTATGTTTCTTTAGGCCTGGCTTTCTTCACTTACTATAATTTTTTCCAAGTCTTTCCATTTCCTAACAAATGGGGCAATGTCATTCTTTCTGATGGAGGCATAGAATTCCATCGTGTATCTATACCACATTTTCTTGATCCATTCATCTACTGAGAGGCATCTGGGTTGGTTCCATATCTTAGCTATGGTAAATAATGCTGCAAGAAACATAGTTGTGCTGGTTGCTTTAGTGTGGTCTTGTTTGTGATCATTTGGGTAAATGCCCAAAAGTGGGATTGCTGAGTCATAGGGGAGCTCTATGTGGAGTCTTTTGAGGAACCTCCATACTACTCCCCATGGTATAACCCGTTTCTACTGTATTTGATGTTGGTATAATTTGTGGAGGGGAGAGGAAAAAACAAATTGTTTAAATAGGGATACAGTGGACCCATTGCAACAATGAGATGTATAAGACGTTATGTGGAAAACCAAACTTTACAACTTTGATGTGGGGGTTGGGGGGGTGGAGGGGCAGGGGGGACGGGAGATGGGAAGGAATGGGAAGGGGAAACAAAGGAGGAGGCAACAGTGCTCATGTAATTGTAACCCCTCTGTATGGTATTTTCACAATTAAAAAAAAGGAAAAAAAATTAAGGATTAATATAGTCCTAAGGAAGGTACAATCCACTGAGGAGACCCTCAGGTACTATAGGAAGTTCACTATGCTCTAGAGTGGTAAGAACAGGAAGGGTAAGTGAAGTCAGACCTGAGATCCAGAAGGGTTTGGGAGAGACACTTCCTAATATCCATAAGATCTAGAGATCGGATATTTTCAGGAATGCATTGCTGGTGCTATGTTCTTGTAGTTCAGCCATGCAATGCGGTGATAGCAATTTCAAAGCTACAGGTAACCTAATAAGGGAACTCTCCACTACTAGCCATTTACCTGGCCTTACAGTGCTCCTTCCCTCCCCTTTCCTTCCCTCCTCTCCCCTCTTCTTCTTCCTTTCCCCTTTCCTCTTCCCTCCTCCTCTCCTTATATCATTTTTTTTTTTTTTTTGGGGGTCTGGTCGTGGGGCCTGAACTCTGGGCCTGGGCGCTGTCCCTCAGCTCTTCAGCTCAAGGCTAGCGCTCTACCACTTGAGCCACAGCACCACTTCCGGCTTTTTTCTTTTTGCTTATGTGGTGCTGAGCAATCGAACCCAGGGCCTCATATATGCAAGACAAGTACTCTACCACTGAGCCACCTTCCCAGCCCTTTATTTTTCTTTCTTTCATTTTGTAATACTGGTGATTGAGCTCAGGGCCTATGCTTGCTAGGCAAGTACTCTACCATTCAATCCACAGCCTCAGTAATTTTGCTTTTATTTTGATTGTCAGATAGGGTCTTGCACTTTTGCTTAGACTTCCTTGGATCAAGATTCTCCTGCCTCCAACTTTCCATCAGCCACAGGCACAATACCCAGATTGTTTTTTTTATAACAGGTTCTCACTCACTTTTTGTTCAAGCTGACCAGGAACTATGAGCCTCCTGTTTCTGTCTCCTGAGTAACTGCTTAGAATGGTTTTTGGTGGAAGAAATGGAGTGAATCTGGATCAATCACCACTAAGCCATCTCAAAGAAACTATTCTAATATTAGCCAGCATTACCTGGCTCTAAAATAAGCATTTTTCCATTAGTCATTGCTAATGTCATACTTACTACAATTAGAATTATTTTAAAAAATCATTTGTGCTGTCAAAATTTCCATCTGTTTAAAGTAAGCACTGTAGGAGGGAGTGAAAGGCATGAAAAATAATTCTTGTCCTCAAAGTATTTCCAATCTCAGTGAGGGAAATAAAGAATACTTGTGGACACAATAGTATATTCTAAGTGTCACATAAATGAGAGGGTAGTAAGAGTTTAGGTGTACTCAGAGATAGGATAAAGGTTATCACATTAAGTATTCACTCTTAAAGAATGTATAATATTGGAAAATGCACAAGGGAAGAAGGGATAACTCTAGAAAAAGAAGTTAGACTAGTAGCTTCTGGACTTATAAAGCTTATGGATCAACTTAGGTTTGATAAAATGCATTAGCTTCCATTATTATCATCATTGTATAAAATTAAGGCATTTGAGGAATTAAAAAAAAAATCTGCTACTATTTCCCTCTAGCTCATTGTACACTACTCCACATTGACTTCAATTAGGGTTCTATGGAGGATCTGAAATCCCACTTTACTTAGTAGCTTGTTTCTGTTTTATGAATGCTGGCAAAAGAAATGAGACTCCTGGGTCCAGGGCAAAAGAGATTACTCCCCTTGACAAAAGAGAAGCCAGAGCTTCAAGTTAACACCTGTCTTTTGTGTCCCTGAAATCCCAGGGAGGCCACAACAGATGAACTCACCTGGAACTGGCCCATGGAGTGAGCCAAACCCTGAGCTGGGGGAAACAGCCATCTTTTTAGTGAGCAGTAGACATGCCTGCTTTTATGTCTTTGCGGGGATGTCAGCTCATCTTTCAAAGTCCATCACTGTAACTAGTTCTGAGAAATGCCCCAAGGAGACAATAGTCAAAGGCTTAGCATCCCCAACAAAAAACAAATAGATGCTCAATGTCCATACCAAATCTTCTGTCCCTCTTGGATGGTCCATTAACACATCAGGCTTTCTCTTACCTTATGCCTTCACAGTGGTTGTTCCTTAGCCTAGAAAATTTTTTGCAAGACATCAGCAGGAACCTCTTCCTCTTTCCTTCAACTCTTTGCTACACCTCCATCATAAAACATATCCTGGCCACCCTATTAAAAATTGCACCCCAAGTCTGCCTCACTACACTTTTTTTCTATGAGCTTGAACTTCAATTCCATGTGGCCGTGTGTACATGTGCAAATATGCACTGGTACCCAACTGACCTCAGGGCCTCTTTCACACTTTCACATAGCTTTTTTTTTTTTTGCTCATGGCTGGCACTCTACCACTAGAGCAATGCTTCCAGTCCAGCTGTTTTACTGGTTAATTGGAAACAGAGTCTCTCAGACTTCTGCCTGGGCTGGCTTTGCATCTCAATCGTCAAATCTCAGCTTTCTGAGTAGCTAGGATTATAGGCATGAACTACTTGTGCCTGCATCACTTACTTGCTTCAACATACTAAAATAATGTGCTTATTAATGTATGCTGTTTACATTTCTTTTCCATCCCTCTCCATTCTCCTCCACTCAAGACTGTAAACTCCACAGATGGAAAAGGAAGATTTCTAACACATGTGTAACTTTCTCCCATTATGTAAGGGCAGTATCCACAAACATGCTAGGATATCACTCTTCCTAATATTCATATTGAGTCAGAAAAAGAAAAGAAAAAAAAGATGTGGGCAGGTAGCTAGAGTAGAGGTCCCTGATGTGACATAGTGTCTTACTCATTAGGTGGCATAAGTCCCTCTGGCCGATAAGGAAGACACATCTGCCCACAAGCTTTAGTCAGCATGGGCTCAATGGCATGACCAGCTCCCTGATTGGTAAAGACCTTGCACAAAGGCTTGTGGGGGGGAGGAAATGGGGCGAGGAGAGTCTCTTGGGATCCTTCATTGCTGTGGAAGCTTTCCTTTCTATGAAAGCAAACTTCGATGTTCAATACTTGGCTCTCACCTTTCATTGCCAATGAATTTCATTCTTCAAATTCCTGAAGACAAAAGACCTCAAACTACGTTTGACTTGAATTTATGTCACTGTATTACATAGAAAAGGGATTTTGCTGATGTCATTAAAGTTACTAATCAGCTGATTTGGGATAAGCCAAAAAGATTCTCCAGGTGGGCCTAACCCAATCAATCACATGAGACATTTAAATCTGGGACAAGAGGTTAGAGACAGAGGAAGTAAAATATTCCCGATTCTAGTAAGGGAGCCATATGACAGGCCTAGAAATTCACTTTTCTGGACAGAGACACTTTCTAGTTAACAGTTAGCAAGAAAGTGAGGACCTAAATCCTATAATTTCAAGTGAAAGAATTCTGTCATCAATGTAAGTAAGCTGGGAAGAAGACTGTACCATAGCAATTAAGATAGCCTGGTTTCGAGACCATACTAAAGCTACTAGTACACCTGTTTATCGTAGCATTATTCACCATAGCTAAGATATGGAACCAAACCAGATGCCCTTCAGTAGATGAATGGATCAAGAAAATGTGACACACACACACACACACACACACACACACACACACACACACACACACACACACACACACACACAATGGAATTCTTTGCTTCCATCAGAAAGAATGACTTCGCCCCATTTGTTCGGAAATGGACAGACTTGGGGGAAAAAATCATATTAAGTGAAATAAGCCAGACTCAAAGAAATATAGGTCCTATGGTTTCCCTTATTTGCAATAATTAGTACATGTCTAGGATAATCTTATCCGATGACCAGAAAAGCTCAAAAGCTATGTACATATGACCATATAAGATGATGTTAAGTGAAATAAACCACAAGATATGGACACATGAGTTTTTCTTTGTTGATTTTTTAATGTACTATGTTATTTTTTCTTTGTTTCTTTTGTATGTTCTTCCTCCTATGGTATATCCCTGTTGTCACTGTATTTGATTTTGGTACCTTGTATCTTGTATATACATTTATCTAATTTGGGGAGGGGAAGGGGAATAACAAAATGCTGAAACAAGGACACAAGATGATCTATTGCAACAATGATACTCACAAGACACTATGCTGGAAATGAACCTTACAACTTTGGGGGAGAGTGGGGGAGGTAGAGGAGGGAAGGAATAGTGGGAGAAAACCAAAGGAAGGGGTAACAATGCCCAACAAAAAATATACTCATTACTGATGTAACTGTAACCTCTCTGTACAGCATCTTTTTTTTTCTGTGGTTTTTTTTTTTTTTTTATTTTTGTCCGGGTCGTGGGGCCTGAACTCTGGGCCTGGGCACTGTCCCTCAGCTCTTCAGCTCAAGACTAGCGCTCTACCACTTGAGCCACAGCACCACTTCTGGCTTTTTTCTTTTTGCTTATGTGGTACTGAGGAATTGAACCCAGGGCCTCAGGCATGCAAGGCAAGCACTCTACCACTGAGCCAACTTCCCAGCCCTCTGTACAGCATCTTTACAAGAAAATAGACTTTAAAAAAAAGATAAAAAAGATAGCCTGGTTTCAACTATGAGAGATAGCAGAGAAGTCAGCTAAGCTGATGCCAGACTTTAGACTGATGGTCTATAGAAATTAGGAGATCAAACTGGGAAATTGTACAGGGATTGTTTCTGGTTTTGAACAGAACTCCAAAATCTAGAATATACTTAGTAGATAAGAGATAGTTAATAAATATTTATTGATGGAATTAAAATGGAATTCACTTAGCCTTAAGGAAATATCACTATATCCTCCTTTTTTCCTATGTTGCTTCAATCTCATTTTTAAAAAAAAACCCTCATATTTTCATAACCATACATCAGAGCTATGGTTCTTGTGATCAGAGATGGGCTGTTTCAGTCAACAAAGCTGTATTGTTCTCAGTCAGGTGCATCTAAGAGCATGAGGCTTTTGGAAAAGCCTGTGTATCAAGTACCAACAATCTGATAAACAAACTCAAACTCACCACAATAGCTATTTTTCCTAAACTCAAGAGAGCTCTACTTAATAACAACAGCAAAGAATTGTCATTGAAAAGTTAAACGTGGGGCTAAGAAGGTAGCTCAGTTGTAGAGTGCTTGCCTCGCATGCATGAGGCCCTGGATTTGATCCTCAGAACCACATAAGCAGAAAAAGTCGGAAGTGGTGCTGTGGTTCAAGTGGTAGAGTGTTAGCCCTGAGCTGAAGAGCTCAGGCCCAGAGTTCAGGTCCCACGACCAACAAAAAAAAAAAAAAAGAAAAGAAAGAAAAGTTAAACTTATACCATTTTTACACTAAAAAAATGACTTTAGTTGTATAACAGGACTGAGTGTGCTCAAAAGTCCATCTTGCATGGCATAATGACACACTTCAAGGTATTGAAGTAGCCCAGTCCGTCCACTCACTTAGGAAATAGAGCAGCGAGGTACTACCTACTGAGGATCACTTTGCTGTCTGCATTGCTTTCTTTTTTTTTTTTTTGGGTCCGGTTGTGGGGCCTGAACTCTGGGCCTGGGCGCTGTCCCTCAGCTCTTCAGCTCAAGGCTAGCGCTCTACCACTTGAGTCACAGCGCCACTTCCGGCTTTTTTCTTTTTGCTTATGTGGTGCTGAGGAATCGAACCCAGGGCCTCATGCATGCAAGGCAAGCGCTCTACCACTGAGCCACCTTCCCAGCCCCTGCTGTCTGCATTTCTTATGTGTGGGATGCAAAGCATCATACCCAGGGCCTCTCATATACTAGATCAGTGTTCTTTCACTGAGCCGCAGCCTCAGCCCCCAAGGAAGACAAATGTCAAACAAATCTATCATTATATATAACCTTATGTAAATATGCATTTATATATTTATTATCAGTCATGTATAAATAGATGTTCCTAAGTAGGAAAGTGTTGAAGAAGTTAGTTTGAATTGTGAGTTCAGGAAAGGCCTGAGAATGAGTGGGATTTAGCTAGAAAATAATACCCCCCAAAATAAATGAGGAAAGGAAAGTCTTATGACATTGTTAGGAAGTCAATGGGAGTGAAGGGGCACTCTATTAAGTTAGTTGCCTTTTGACTTGTTCAAAAGTTGTGCCCCTGAAATCCCATGGAGGCCACAACAGATAAACTCACATGGAACTGGCCCATGAAGTGAGCCAAACCCTGAGCTGGGGGAAACAATCACCTTTTTAATGAGCAGTAGACATGCTTGCTTTCTGTCTTTGAGGGGATGTCAGCTCATCTTTCAAAGTCTATCACTGTAAATATTCCTGAGAAATGGCCCAAGGAGACAATAGTGAAGGGCTCACTGCTCTGCTCACTGGCAGACTGAAATTTTGAATATGTATATATATATATATATATTTTTTTTTTTTTCTTTTTGGGGGGTCCAGTCATGGGGCCTGAACTCTGGGCCTGGGCACTGTCCCTCAGCTCTTCAGCTCAAAGCTAGCGCTCTACCACTTAAGCCACAGTGCCACTTCTGGCTTTTTTTCTTTTTGCTTATGTGATGCTGAGGAATCGAACCAACGGCCTCATGTATGCAAGGCAAGCACTCTACCACTGAGCCACCTTCCCAGACCCAATTTTGAATATTTTTTTCCACTACTATATTCCTAGTACCTAGGATTATGTCTGAGAAATCAGTCAATAAATATGTGAATGAGGAGTCTCTGCCTTTGCTTGGTTGTTCTCTGTCTCTCTCTTCATCTTCCCTCCTTTTCCCTTTAGGATGGATGGATGGAGAATAGCTGCATTCAGATGTGCAGAGGAGGAGACTTACCCAAAGTTCTTCCCCTCTGTTTTGGCAGTTTGTGTGGTTGTGCATTGACTATTTGCTGTCCCTATATATAAGACGATTATTCAGTCCTACCTGTTGCTACCTGTAGAGTCTCATGTAAAAAGAATATGTACCCCCTCCCATACACACACCCTACTGAAGCAGAGTGTCCTGGGATGTCTTCCTCCTCTTTCACAAAACAGCATGCTCTGTATGTGGGTTGTTCCTTCTGCCTGAACTCCAGACTTCAGATCCCAGTCTGCTGACAGCTAGCTTATGATAGGACTGGGAAATAGATATGCATTGTTGTAGATCACTGACACTTGGAAGTTACTACTACTTCAAATATAATACACTAATTATTGACTATTTGAGTGAAAATTAAGGAGAAGAGGAAGAACTTAATAGATAAAAGCTGTCCAGAAAAACTCACTAGATGTGACTCGCTCCTGTAATCCTAGCTGCTCAAAAGGCTGAGATCTAAGGATTTTAGTTCAAAGCCAGCCTGGGCAGGAAAGTTCATGAGACTCTTAACTTCAATTAACCAACAAAAAGCTGGAATTGGAGCTGAGGCTTAAGGTGTAGAGCACTAACTTTGGGCAAAAAATGCTCAGAGAGAGCACCCATGCTTTAAGTTCAAACCCCAGGTCTGGAACAAAAACAAAACATAACAAAAAAGCTTGAAGATAAAGACATCATCTCAGATTATTATTAAAATAACTTGGGAAAATTGAGCACATTTCCAAAAATTAATTTATATACAACTCTCAGGAACTCTCATATTTATCAGTATGTCTGTACTCTATTGGAATACTTGGGCAATGTTGGAAAATCTAACCTTGAAATGAGCTGAAGAAGGTGACTATGTTGGGATGTTTCATCTTGGCCAGAAGACTCACTTCTTTTGTTGAAGCTTCTCTTTCTTGCGTGGGCATCTGAATTATATTAAGACATAGTGAAGTTTGGTAAGATTAACTTGCTTTCAGGACTCTACTACCTGTTCACTCCTGACTGAAATTTCCCAAGATATCACTGTGTTCAATGTCACTTATAAAACTGATCTCTCAAAGGGAGGAAATGACAACACTTTATGTAAGACATGAACATCCAAAGACTTTGGTATGGGGGTAGGGTGAGCACTGGAACCAATACCCCATAAAGACTTCAGGATGACTGTAGATCAACATTCTGTGACTTGGGCTGTATGTGTGTGTGTGTGTGAGCACATGCATACATGTGCCACTAGTTTTCTACCACTTGAGCCACAACACTCCTTACAGCTATTTGGTGGCTGATTGGTGATGAGTCTCAGACTTTCGATCTGTGATCCTTAGGTCTCCAATATTTTTTAAGTTTTTTTTAAAATAAATCAAAAGCCAGATAAATATTAACAGGAATATTAACAAGAATTTGAACTTAACTTTTACCTTTGCAAAGTTGATCTCTTTTATGACACAGTCCGTGCTGTTGGATTTCTCCTTAGCTAAGTATGCTTTTCCAAAGGCACCTTCCCCAATGACCTTAATCAGATCAAATTTGTCCATGATCTCCACAGGTTTCTGCAATAAGAATAATGAAATTTGACTGCATTCTTCACGATGGCCTCAAGTAAAAAAATTGATGACAGATATGTAAGGGAACTCATTTGCAAGAACTTTCCTTCAGGCTTTCCAAGACAAGCAAATAATTTTCATGTGAACAAGCCAATATAGAAAAAGAGCTTGTTGGTGGGCTTGTTTGCTCACTTTGATATACTTTAGCATTATGACCTTGGGAAAATCACTTAACCTTGCCATTTTCCTAATTTCTAAAAATAGAAAAGTTGCTATGTGGCAAGTTTGTTCTGTGAAAGAAACATACACCTCTAATAAAAGGAAACTGCCTCAGGCCATTACAGTCCAGTAGGGAGTTACTGCCCCCTAGGGGGAGGCTTGGGAATTGACTCGGGGTTTATTAAGCACTTCGGGTCTCGGATACAAGCTCGGTCTACAATTATCCCACTTCCCACAAGCTTGAGAAGTCTTTCTATATACTTATATGTGTGGAAGAATTCGTTCAGAATTATCGGCGGCTAGATCTATTTTACATCTAGATCCAAAGTATTTTGTCTACGAGGTTAGCCCTGAATTTGCTCGGAATGCCCCCACATGTAAAACAAACCTTGGTTGCATTTTGGAACTTTACCCAAAGTGGCTTACTGCTTTGAAAAAAATCGCATCCCTGCCCTGACCTCCCTTCGGGGTACCGGAGACCTAGGCGTCAGCCTGTATTTGCCCTCGATCAAGTTCGGTGTTTGCGCAGGCGCGGGCACCAGGCTACTCCGCTAACTTCAGGTGTTGCAAAGTCAAGCGCTTGCAAAAGCATACTGTCAGTTGTCTTCCTTCTATTTTGGCTTTAGGCGAACTGAGGACGTGGTACACGTTTTATGTCAGGGTTAAAGGGATAGCCGAGATAAAGGGTTCTGAGAGGGGTGAGTGCGGGCAATCCCGGCTCGAGACCTCCCGCCCGGGTAGCATCACGGGTAGAAGACCCAGGCTTAGAAGACATCCTCTCTTTGGACTACGGGGGAGAGGGCGGGGGTGGAGGGGTCGGGGTGGGGACGGTAGGTTGGAAAGCAGAGGGAAGGATCTTCAAGCCGGAGTCTGGAAGCTCAGCGTCCAGCGCGTTGCCATGGAGACCGACGCAGCCCAGGAGGCTGCACACTGCCCGTGTGCGCTTGCTCCTCCAGCTGGGACTGGGTCGGGCCTCGGCGCTCCCTGCGGCTCAGGGAGCCTGGGGAGTAGCTTGGAGAAGGACTAAGCACACCCAGCCGCTGCCTACCTGCTCCGGCCGGCTGCTCGGGGAGAGAGCGTAGAGAGAGTCCCGGAATGATCCAGATTCCCGGGAGGCTGAGTCTCCCGGAGGTCGGGGCGGAGCCGAGCATGGGAGCGGGGCGGGCGCTAGACTGGGGCTGGTTGGAGACGCGACAGCAGGGGTCGGAGCTGTACAGCGATAACAGGCCGGGACCTGAGGTTGGCAGCACCCGCTGGAGCGTGGCTCAACAGGAACGTTGCATCCTGCAGGCTCACCCTGCACCTCCTGTACGTTTTCTGTTATTGACAACGTGCAAGTGAGCTAAACTGGGCAGGAAGCAAGTTTGTTTGGTAGATTAGTATTAGTATAGTGAGGCTGAGGATGAAATCCACGGGCCTTGTGTATGCTAAATAAGCAAGTGCCCTCCCTACCCAGAACGACATGCCAGCTGGAAGCGAGGTTCTTGAGCAAAGTCTCAAATACTGCTGAGAGGTGTGAGACCTGGTCCTCTTGGCTATAGCTGGCAGCCTTCTCGTGGATCTTTTATTTTATTTTTAATGCTTAATTGTTACAAGAAAGGTGATGTACAGAGAGGTTACAGTTACAATAAGTCAGGTAAGGAATGTATTTCTTTGGGGACAGAATCACCCCTTCCCTCTCTCCCAGTTTTTCCCTCCCCTCATCCGTGCCCCAAGTTTGTATAATCCATTCTCAACATAGTGTCTAATGAATACCACATCATTGGTTCATCTTTGTCTCTCCATTTCAGTGCTTCCTCTTTATCCTCCCAAAGACCTTCGGGTCTTCTTACAAAACCGGTTGCTGTCTGTGGTCTGCAACATGTTCCTCTTCCATTCCCATTCACCGCCCGCACATGAAGCTGCCATACACGTCTTAGTACAAGTTGAAAGGGTCGAAAAGAATATAACATTAAGCAATGGTAAATAGTGACACAAATATAACATATCCAGCTCCACAATCTAAATACCACGTGTAAACAATACATGGAATCTAAATACCACAGTGCTTTCAATACCCGCTATTATCTATGCAAAAATATTTCTAAGAATCAGAAAATATACATTACTTTGTTTTTTAAATCATACCCCCCATTTCAAATAAGGATGTGTTTTCCTGACAGCATTTTATCCCCAGTGTAATCTTTCTCATATTTGAAAGTTTTATTGATAATCCTGTCATATGCACTGTAAGAAGCAATAAATAGAAATGAATATTTTTTATTCATAGTATCATAAGTTGTTTTTTGTTCGGTTTGCCTTGAACACACTGTGCCTGGCCACTGTCCCTGAGCTCCTTTTGCTGAAGGCCAACCCTTGAGCCACAATGCCATTTCTAGCTTTTTCTGTAATTTAGAGATAAGAGTCTCATGGACTTTCCTGCCTAGGTTGGCTTCAAACCACAATCCTCAGATCTCAGCTTCCTGACTAGATAGGATAACAGGTGTGAACCACCAGTGTCCAGCATAAGCTATTTTTTTCTGTAATGAAATATTAAAATTACTAATGGTGTATAATTAATCAAAGTAAATATCACAGTATTAACATTTAGTAAATATAAAAGCAAAATTATTCCAAGCACTAGTGGCTCACACCTGTAATCCTAGCTACTCAGGAGGCTAAGGTCTAAGGATCATGGTTCAAAGCGAGTCCAGGCAGGAAACTCCATGAGACTATCTCCAATTAACTATCAAAAAGCTGAAAGTGGATTTGGCTCAGGTGGTAGAAGGCTAGCTTTGAGCTAAAAAGCTCAGAAACAGCACCCAGGCCCTGAGTTCAAGCACTTGAACCAACACATACACACAAATATAATTTCATTACTTAAAAGACCTGAGTGAGGTACTCTTGCTTCTTTAGACCATTAGTTCTAGTAGCCATAAAAAAATGCTAACTTGTTGCTAAAATGGGCACGATTTGACCTTTTCTTCTTCCATTTTCTCCTTCTCCCCTTTCTTTCTTCTCCCTTTCTTCTCTTCCTTTCCCTCCTTTCTTTTCTTTTTCTTTTTTATTCTCCTTCCTTCCTTCCTTCCTCCCTTCCTTCCTTCCTTTCTTTTTCTTTTTTCCTTTTTTTTTTCTGTGTGCCAGTCCTGAGGCTTGAACTCAGGGTCTGGACACTGTCCTTGAGCTTTTTTGCTCAAGGATAATGCTCTACCACTTGAACCACAGCTCCATTTCTAGCTTTGTGTGTGTGTGTGTGTGTGTGTGTGTGTGTGTGTGTAATTGGAGGTAAGAGTCTCATGGACTTTCCTGCCGTGGCTGGCCTCGAACTGTGACCTCCAGCCTCGAACTGTGACCTCCAGAACAGCTAGGATTACAGATGTGAGCCACTAGTGTCTGACCTCCTTTTGGTTTTGAGATAGACAGGGTCTTACTATTTCTCTCGTTTGCCTCCTACATTCTATTTAGCTCCTGCCTCAGCCTCCTGACTTCTGTGAGTGCAGGTATGAATCATCACACTTTACTTCACTTTCCATTTTTAAAAGCCACAAGTGCTGACAAATTTTATCCAACTAATAGGAATGAAAGCTTTAAAAAAAATGCCTGTCACATTTTGTCTACTTGTATGTTTAGAATCATATAGCAATCACATAGTAATCTCCATCAGCAGATAGTTCCATTAGTCTCCTGAAATCATGTTAAAAGTAAAACACCTTGTAATCATAAATTTTGGGGGAAGGATTCTAGGAATTGAACTCAGGGCCTCTTGATTTTTAAGACTCATTCATGTGCTCAATAACTATATATGCATAATTTCATGTTCCCTTTGCTTGATGGTTGGAAATGTTTACACACTGGGGCAATGTTTGGATTCTAGAAAACTAGAGGTATAGAAATTTTGTATATATGGAAGTTGAATATCCAAAAACATTTAAAACTTCCACACCTTCCTTAACATGAAGAATCTTCAAGGACATAATGAGCTAATGTTCAAAGTAATTTTGGAAAATGGCATTTAAATGGCAACAGTGAAGTAGACAATAAGAATACTAATAAATTCTGTACCATAGTTGATTATTTGTGTGTGTGTGTGTGTGTGTGTGTGTGTGTGTGTGTGTGTGTGTGTACTGGTTTGCTTGGGCATGCTCTTGCTTAAACTTTTTTGTTCAAGACTGGCACTCTACCACTTGAACCATACCTCCACTACCAGCTTTTTGCTGTTTAATTGGAGATAAGTATCTTAGATTAATTTGCCAGGACTGGATTTGAACCTGATCCTCAGATTATCAGCCTTCTGAGTAGCTAAGATTACAGGCATGAGCCATTTGCACCCAGCCTATTGGTAAATTTAGAGATTTGAGTTACTGATTTGGAAACTGACATGTATAGTGAACTGAATAACTCAGTGCATGGTACATTTTCAGCTCAAGTTTCTCACTATCAGGGAGAAAAGATTCAGAAAAGCAAGGGAGAGGGGCTAGAATGAAATCTGAGGTCCTGGATTAGTCAGAGACTTCAGTGTGAGCCCATGTTTAGCTGAATATACATACAGATGGGAGACACAGAAGTCACCATGGAGCTGTGTGGGTACACAGATACACAGTTTAGTATCCATAGAGAGGGCCTAGAAGTAGTGATATCCTAGTAACAAGCACACCCAGCACCTAGATCTTGTTTTCTGAACTAATTAGCTGAACGGCTAATTGTGGGGATGGGGCAAATAAGGCCCAAGATGATCCTGGCTCATTTTTTTATAGTGCCAGAATGTGAAGAAAAGTGGGAGGATGCCAAGGAGACA